ACAATAGCTCCCTTTGTCCCCACGTCCGCTATTGTCCTACACCCCTTGTACTCCGTACCCATGGCGACGCTATTGTTCTCTAGCGCCCATTGTTCGTTCCCTGTATATAGCTGGATCCCTTGCTACCTGGAGACTCTAGTTTCGACCTCTTGTCTCCAGGTAAGCCATCGTGTATTTCGCTCTGTAGATACCTCGCTCAATACACAACTTGTCTCCAGTCCTGCCTGTTGAGCTCCGCTCCAGTCTCACTGCGATCAGAGCTCGTCGGCGCTCCTGCCTGCCTCGCTCGTCTCCACTTACTCGCTCGACAGTCAGTCGTAACACGGAGCTCATGCGTTCATCAATTGCGGAGCAAGTGCTTCTCTCCTTAACCAGAATTTTGCCAAGAAGCACAAACTCCCTCTCATCACCCTAACCTCCCCCCTTCGTTTCACCAATGTCGATGGCACCGCCAACACGGCCGGACCAGTCACCCAGAAATTCGTCGGCCACTGTCGAGTCAATAGCCACGAGATCCCCACCGAACTCTACGTCGCAGACTGCGGTCGGGATGACATCATTCCCGGAATGCCATGGCTAATCCAGTATAACCCCCATATCAACTGGGTACAGGGCAAGGTCCGGTTTGACGCCGAATACCTGCGGGCGGAACAGCGACTTTGGGAATACCACCAGCGCCCCTCAGGGACTCCCCATCGACACCTTACCGCTTTCCTTCACGGAGACATCCATCCCGAATGGAACCCTTCTACCATTATTCGATGACTCATCATCGGAGACACCGCCATCGCTTGCACCACCGTATCAACCCAACTGGCCGTCAACGCAGGGTCGAAGGCAGCTAACGTCAAGGCTCCCGTGGCCATCCCAGACTACCTCAAAACCTATCACCAGGTGTTCGAAAAGAAGGCGGCTGAATGAATGCCCAAGCCCTGGGCCTGGGATCACCCCATCGACCTGCGACCCGACTTTAAACCCCGGGACTGCAAGTTGTACCCCCTGTCCCCTCTCAAGATGCAGGAACTTCGGAAGTTCATCAATGAGAACCTAGCCAAGGGGTATATCTGCCCATCCACCTCACTGATGGCATTCCTATTCTTCTTTGTGGACAAGAAGGACGGTTCCATGCGACCCATCCAGGACTACCGCTACCTCAATTCTGGCACGATCAAGAATGTCTACCCCCTTCCCCTGATCAACGATCTCATCGACAAGTTGCAAGGGGCCAAGTACTTCACGAAGTTGGACGTCCGTGCTGGGTACAACAATGTCCGCATCAAAGACGGTGATCAGTGGAAGGCTGCCTTCAAGACCCCCCTTGGGCTCTACGAGCCAACGGTAATGTTCTTTGGGTTATGCAACGCCCCGGCAACTTTCCAAGCGATGATGAACGACGGCTTCAAGGACATGATCGCTGAGGGATGGATCGTCATCTACATGGACGACATTCTGATATTCTCCAAGACGGAGGATGTCCACCATCGTCGAACGCAACGGGTCGTTCAGCGTCTCATCGAAATGGACCTGTTCCTCAAGCGCGAGAAGTGCGTGTTCGACGCTAGTGAAGTTGAGTTCCTGGGCACCATCATTTGTGAAGGATCGCTTGGCATGGACCCGGTCAAGCTCGACGGCATCCGCACCTGGCCTGTACCCACCACCGTCAAATAAGTCCAGAGCTTCCTCGGATTCTGCAACTTCTACCGACGCTTCATCCGTGACTACAGCAAGATCGCTCGACCACTCACACAACTCACCCGCAAAGACCTACCCTTTCAATGGACGCCCAAATGTCAGGTTGCATTTGACACGCTTCGCAACCTGTTCCAGCAGAAGCCCATCCTTTGCATGGCCGACCCGTCCGGGGCCTTCCAGATCGAATGCGACGCCTCCATGTTTGCCACTGGGGCCGTCCTCCGCCAACGGAACAGCAACCAAGACTGGATGCCGGTAGTGTACCTATCCCACGCCCTCTCGCCTGCGGAACGCAACTATCAGATCTACGACAAGGAGCTCCTAGCAGTTGTTCGCGCGTTCGAGACCTGGCAACGCTATCTCGAAGGATCCCCCCACGTTATCCAGGTCATTTCTGACCACAAGAACCTCACCTACTGGCGGTCTGCGCAGAAGCTGACCCGACGCCAGGCCCGATGGAGTGCATTCCTCGGCCAGTTTCACTTCGAAATCCACCACCACGCCGGGAAGACCTTGACCCAAGCCGACACCCTGTCCCACCGCCCCGACCATGCGGATGGGAAGCATGACAACGAGGACGTTGTCGTCCTAGATGACGGGGTATTTATTTGAGCTGTCACTGATGATCTACTGCTACGAATCAAGGACGCCACCCGGAAAGACACCAAGGTGGTACAGACTAGCCGTCATGGACGTCTAACCCTTGTCAGGCCACCTCCGTATAGCAAACCTGCAGACTGGAAGCTGGACGATGGAGTTGCCAAGTACCAGGGCAAGATCTACATACCTCCGAATGAAAACCTACGACGCGACATCATCCGGATACATCACGACCCGGCAGTAATGGGCCACCCTGGACAAGACCAGAACATCGAACTCGTCTCCCGCCAGTACAGTTGAGGCGGAATGGAAAACTTCATCCGCAAATTCGTGCAGGGATGCGCCATCTGTCAAGGATCCAAGGTTAACGCCCACCCCGTGAAAGCTCCTGCCATGCCTATTCTCCACGCAGGGAACACGCGGCCATTTTCAGTCATCACCATGGATCACATCACGGGCCTTCCAACGTCCAACAGATTCAATGCCATTCAAGTGGTAGTAGATCACGACACCACCAAGGGTGCAGTCATCACCCCCTGCACCATCGATGTCACCACCTTGGAAGCAGCCGAACTACTGTTCCGGGATGTCTACAAACGGTTTGGAGCCCCTCAGAGGATCATATCCGATTGAGGACCCCAGTTCGCATCCGGGGTTTTCCAAGAACTGCAACGACTCGTAGGAGTCAAGACTTCTCGATCCACAGTGTATCACCCCCAGACGGACGGACAGACAGAACGAGTCAACCAGGGGATCGACTTGGCTCTGCGCATCTACTGCCTCAACAACCCGGACAGCTGGTCGGACGAACTCCCCGCCTTCGAGTTCTGCCACAATCAACGCAAGCACTCCGTTACGGGCAAGTCTCCGTTCGAACTCATCATGGGCTACAACCCCGACGTATTCCCCAACTCCCTCTCTCCATCCACGCACCCAAGTGCAGAAGAACGAATCCAGCAACTCCTCGAAGACAGAGCCAACGCGGAAGCCGCGCACAATCGAGCAGCAGAGATTATGGCCCGAAGGGCTGTAACCAAGCCGGTCACGTTCAAGAAAGGCGACAGGGTCCTCCTCGAATCAACCAATCTCAGACTCCCCTATCCCCACCGAAAGTTAGCCCCGAAAAGGGAAGGACCCTTCGAGATCCACGAGATCACTGGTCCAGTCACAGTTTGGCTGAAACTCCCTAAGGCCTGGAAGATCCATGATGTCTTCCATGTGAATCTACTCAAGCCTTATCGAGTCACCAAGGAACACAGTCCAGACTACCCCAGACCGCCTCCGGAAACCGTAGAGGGCGAAGAAGAGTGGGAAGTCGAGGCCATCTTTGTTACGACTGACTGTCGAGCGAGTAAGTGGAGACGAGTGAGGCAGGCAGGAGCGCCGACGAGCTCTGATCACAGTGAGACTGGAGCGGAGCTCAATAGGTAGGACTGGAGACAAGTTGTGTATTGAGTGAAGTATCTACAGAGCGAAATACACGATGGCTTACCTGGAGACAAGAGGTCAAAACTAGAGTCTCTAGGTAGCAAGGGATCCAGCTATATACAGGGAACGAACAATGGGCGCTAGAGAACAATAGCGTCGCCATGGGTACGGAGTACAAGGGGTGTAGGACAATAGTGGACGTGGGGACAAAGGGAGCTATTGTCCGTGTGTGGACAAAGGGAAACCATAGCGAGTAGTGAACAATAAGGAAACGTACGAGGCAATGGTCCGAATCGAAAAGGAAACGTAGCGCCGTGAGGGTGGTTCGTGACAATCTTAGCCCATTGGAAACGTGGGAAAGGCTATCAATACTTCGTCCCTTGGAAGGGCTGGCCTAGCAGCGAAAACTCGTGGGTTTCCGGGAAGGAGATGACTAATGCGCCGAAGCTCCTCACCAAGTACAAGAAGCAACAGCGACTCTAGGGAACGACCCCAACCCACTCCGCTCTCCCACCAATCCACACCATGCCCCAACTCGCCTCTACCTACCGCACTGCCCCCGAAGACGTCCCCACCCCCCAGTGGTTTCTCGACCACGACTTCCACCTCTCCTTCCTCCACCTGCCCGGCAACGAAAACACTGGATACAGTCAGACCTCCCAACGCCAATACGTTGGGTGGCTCCTCCTCCAACCCAACCCGGAGTTGCGCAACATCCTGGAATGGCGATTCCGGGACGTCCCACCCGCCTTTCATGCCTGGGCCATCTACGGCGAGTCGGTCGTCACCCTCACCCATCTCCAGACCCTTGACTGGGACGTCGGCGAGCTCACTGACCCATCTGGCCAACGACGGGCCTACGACACTGTCTCCCAGTTGCGGGCCACGACAATCGCCATGTCCGACCACGCCTTAAATATTGTTTGCGCCCCCCATCATCTTTTCCTCATCGCTGACCTCGTCAATCACATAGAGCAGGTTGACCGCGAACGCGAGCGGACCTGGCTGGAGCGCGTCATCGCCAACAACGACAGCCACGCCGCCTCACCTATTCCCCCCACGCCGCCTCTGCCCGCCCCGGAATGGGGAAACCCGGCCGACGTCTCCGGATGGGGCGACACCAACGTCGACTGGAGCAACACTAACTGGGGGAACGTCCCCATGAACGAGGCCGACATGGAGTGGTCCCCCCCCTATACAACCTCCACGCCGCTCCCCTCCATCCCGCGACTCCCCCTCCCCAACACCGCAGCACCTCCGCCCGATGCCTGCTCGCCTACGCTCCGGCGCGCCCCCTCCGACCGGTACGCGCCCCTCTCCCCGCTCTCCCAGCCCCACCCCCCGCTCCCCAAGCCCCGTCGATGAAGAAGAACCCCCATTCGTCATGGTCATCGACCCCACGTCGCCCCTGGAGTGGCCGGCCTCGGCTGTCCGAACGGTCCTAGGCACCATCAGTGGAGGCGACCTCACCGACACCACCGACCCTGACGCCCTGTCCGCGCCCCCTGCCCCTCCAACTCCCCTGCTCCGCCAACGTACCCCTCGCACCCCCCCATACCCCGCTCCTGCCCCGGGCCCCACCACCATCCACTATCGGATGCCCCTCCTCGGCTACCCAGCATACGGAGGGGCCCTCCTCTACGACGAGCGACTCCTGGACGGCTGGCAAATCGGGCCGGAAGAACCCCGTCACGTCGGCGGACACCCTTGGGAGTGGCGTATCTCAGACCACCTCAACGGGACTGCTCTCCTCGAGGTCCAACTCCGGAGCTACGCCTGGGATGAGCGGTGGGAGCACATGCCTGGTGTCGACAACGCCTACCTCATCGGTGTCTTGGCCGACAACCTTCACTCCAGTGAACGGTTCACGGAGACTTAGTACCTGGGATTCCTTCGGGCAATGATCCAGGCACGCGACCCCACCACCCGCGTCACCGACCACGATGTATGGAGAGAAGCGGCCGACAACCTCGTTGACGCGTACGACGTCCGCAACATCCCCGTCTCGGTCCGCCAGTACCAGAACGGACATGCTGTACGCCTCTGCGACAACATGTCGGGGAACGACCTCCATCACAGCGTGTGGGGGAACTTCTACGACGACGAGATCCTTGATGTCTCCAATTACGGTGACTCCCCTCCACCCACCCCTGCCACACCCGCCGCACCCGTTGAGGAGGTCCTCCGTTCGCGCAGCCCCTCCCCCGTATCCCCGCCCGCTGTCGTCCACGACCTCCCCACTGACGCCATCCCCACCCCTTTCCGTGCCATGCGCCCTGCCCCCGCTTACCCATCGCCCCCCGCTGCCTCCCCAACCATCGCACCGTCGCCGTCCTGCTCCATCACCTTCCTCTCTGGGGGCTACTTCAACCCCATTGATCCTGGCTTGAACATCGGCCTCTGGTACCCACCAGCGCCCTCGTCACCGCTCACGGAGCCAGACTTGGAGTTGAATGATCGGGACAATCGTGCTTAGAAACGGGGGTAATGTTACCGTTGGTACGCCCCACCCCCTATCTTTTTCTATTGGACTACTCCTTCTCGTTGTCCTCATGTACATTCCACCCCCCTTCCTGTTCCTGGCGACCTACATTTACCCTCCCGTTCCCCTGTCGTCCGCCTGTACACTACCACCCCCCATTCCGCCCCCTGACGACTGCGTTCCTAGTCCCGGCCCTCTCCCTTAATATTTCCCCTTTCGTCTATATGACCGGACCCTGAGTCCGACCCTGACCCTTTCCCTTTTCGGTTACATTACTTTACCCTGACCCAGACCCAGACCGTTGTCGCACCCCCTTCCCTTTTTGGTTACATTACCCGACCCTGACCTGGACTCAGGACCCTGTCCCACCTCTATCCCCTTTTGGTTATATCACAGGACCCTGACCTAGGTCGTGTACTATACTGGGCCCAGCCTCGACCAGACGTGTTCCTTTACAGTCTCCTCATACCTCCCCACTTTGGTCGGTTACCTTTCCCTTCCTAATACGGTCAGTACCCCATAGTATATAAGGAGGCCCGTAGTCGGTAGAGGCTCCCCACTTCTGTTCTCCTCTTCGTTACCTCTTGTATCCCTATATCCCTCAATCTAGGGACTTGTGCGATACTCTCTCCCCCCGTGTGCTACACCGCATACTTGGATAAGTCCGCATGATAAGTCTGGATAGACTTGTGTTAGTACTTCAGCGTAACAGGAGCTAGGCTTTGGGACATAACCTGTGACAGGCATCCATTCCCAGGCCATTTCTCTGTCCCAGTTTGGGTCCGGGACATTGGCCAATGCCCGTCGTGACAGTTCAGTTCACTCGAACATCTCCTCTCATCGCTCTAACAAGCCTCTTATAACCAACAACCCTTCTAGGTGAGTTGCAGGCTATCCGCTGTCGTTGCCACCCGTGGGAGAGGCTTTTGCCCCCCAGGTTCAACATCACAGTCACTAGTAGGGATGTGATATTAGTGCATGGCTTAGCATTGCTGCTGTGCTGCCTTCTTGCAGTGAAATATATCTTGTTCCCCATAATTCTCCAGTAGTTTGATGTCTAGCAATGATACAGGACGGACAGGAGCAACGGACAAACCCACGCTACCCGCAGGCATGACTTTGTTATTGTTGACAGATAATTCGTGCTCAGCACAAATTTAATAACAAAGGTGTGGCGATACACATATTCATTGTAAGACGAATTGATTGCGTGTTCGAAGGATCCGGCACCCGGAAACCGTGCAAATTCCCATGTTTTACAGATGTAAATCCCGCCCTTCTAACCCGCTGTCTAAGCAAGGTTTTTCTCCTGTCTGAGACCACGCCAGATTGACCGTGGAAAGCCGTCATCTTGACGCGCTTTTTGCTCGTCCATAAACCGGTGTTCGACCAGGGTTTTCTGCTCCATTTCCTTGGCCGGACCGCACTATTTCCTCGGTTTTCCCCTGTGGGTTTTGCACAGTCCCGGGCGCCATAGTGTTCACCCACGAAGATACACCATCGTGATCAACCAGTACCCAACTTCTTGGTCAACACGAAGTACGGGGCGCTCAGTGACTGCGAGGCGTCACATTCTCTACTTAACTTGACCGCAAGTGACCAAAATCATTGATGCTGGCAATGTAAACTGTACAGGAATATTTCATGGATACATTATATTTCTATACCGCTTCTCGCTTCCGTGGCGTGGCTCTCAAGATGTCATCCACTCTGCAAAAGTAAGTGATTACTAAGTGCCAGATCCGAGGCGCAGAAAGCAGCTCACCGGAGAATCATCTCAGCCGCTTCACTGGCGCTGATGACGACCTGCCTCTTGAGCTTGTAGCTCTCCGTGACCCCCAACTTCACCATTGATCCAATCGAGCCCTCGTTCATGTCTATGCACGTCGTTGAGCCCTTCACGCTTCGACACCTACGGAATGAATGGACTTACCGAGCCCTGCGTCGCTTTTGCCTTCGTAGTGCGCCGCTCGAAGTTTCGCGACCAAGTCCGAGGAGTCATAACCTGCGTTGTCCGCCAAGATAGTCGGGATCATCCTGAGCGCCCTGCCGAATGCCTCTGCAGCAATCGCCTTCTTGCCCTGGATTTTCCGCGCCTCCTCGTCGACGGCACAGCTCATGAGCATCTCCGAGCAGCCTCCGCCAAGCACAATACGTGTCTCCTTGACAGTTTGCGACAAGACCGAAAGAGCATCGTGGAGCGAGCGTTCTGCCTCGTCAATCATCTGATTCGTTGAACCCCGCAGGACGACGGTGCACGCTTCACCCGCCGCGACGCCGGAGAACTTGATCAACTAGTCCACGAAGGCGCATCAGCGACGGCAAGACGAGGCAGAAGGCAAGAGGAATACCTTATCTTCGCCAATCATGACCTCCTCGATCAGCTCACATCGTCCGAGCTTGACGAGCTCGGGATGGTCAAACGTGCTAGCGATCTCACCGCCAGTGACAAGCGCAAGGCGCTCCACGCCCTCGAAATCTGCATGCTCAATCGTGAGGATACCCTTTTCGGCAAGAAGTGACTCGGGGTAGTTGTAGATAAGTTGACGATTGACGAAGCAGTTGATCCCGTGAGCAGCAATCGCATCCACCTTAGACTTCATCTTCTCCTGCAGTGAAACGTGAGAATGAGGATCACATCGGGACCTAGCGTAGCGAACCTTCTCGGCACGCTCAAGCTCGGCAAGTTTGCCAGTACTATCAACCTTGATCCGAGCACCAAAGACCTTAATCTTGTCGGTATCCATGGCTTGAACGAATGGATGAGGGATTGGGACAGAGTACACAAGGTTACGGCTTACAGGTGTTCGCAATGAGGATCTTGGCATTTTCAAGTCGCTTCGGGCAATTGGTCCCGATGGTCTTGTCAAGGATGAAACCTACCTTTGACCTCAGAAAACGAAAGTGCCCTGTGGCAAGATACGCACCTTCATCTAGATACGAGTCCGTGAGCTTGCCCCCAGCCTTTTTGATGACCTGGATATGCTCCAGGTTTGTCGAACCCTGCACGTATGTCAATGGAAAGATCATCAGCGATGGTGACAAGACGCTGACCTTGAGTCGAAGCACGGCATCTACAGCGAGGTTGGCGAAGTAATCCTTGTCCTGGGAGAGGACTTTTGAGGAGAGGGTAGTCCGGGCAATGTTAACAAGATCTTGCCTGAAGCGAGCGGGATCGGTGCTGAAGTGCATCGAGAAGACGTCTGTCTACTTGAGCACTGCTGAAGATGAACGGCCGACACATACCTGTTGTCCTGGGCAGCCTTCTCGAGTGCTCGAAGAGACGCAGCGCTGGCTATACGGAAACCCTCGATGATGGTTTGTGGGTGGATCTTCTGGGCGATGAGCTTCTCGGCCTCCCTGAGGAGCTCTGCAGCCAGGACGCAAACGCTAGTTGTACCGTCGCCGACTTCATCGTCCTGGACCTTTGAGATGTTGACGAGAATCTTGGCGGCGGCATTGTCGAGTTGAATGGACTTGAGGATTGTTGCGCCATCGTTGGTGACATTGATCTCTCCGGATGATGCTGACTGGAGGATCTTGTTCATGCCCTTGGGGCCAAGTGTGGATTTGACGAGATCTCCGAGGGCGAGTGCGCCGACGAAGGAGGCAAGACGCGCGTTCTCGGCCTTCTCCTCAGTTGCCTACAGAACGGGTGAGTGATGGACAGCAAGAGATAGAAATGGGACATACCTCTGCACCAAAGATGTTCATGGCAATACAGATAGATGGAGACAAAGAAAAGAGTGGAAGAGGAGGGGAGAGACAGAATGCGGACTTCTCAGTCCAAGATCATAGACGCTCCAAATATTGCGGCTTCTCGTCCACGTGACGTGCTATGAGCGGTGCTGTCCTGCCCACGTCGACGAGCGCAGCAAGTGCTGCAGTTCAAACCCTCCCTTCACACCGACGACGACGACGACGACGACGACCGACTGCTCTTCGTGGCATTCCTTCCTTCCTTTGATTCTTTTAATCCTGGTTGTGCCTATTTGGCTGTTCTCTCCAGCTGCCTAGACAATGTCTGGCAACGTACGAGCACGCCGGCAGGCATCTCCTCCCGGCCGCCATACACTGCCAGTCCAGACGTCCCAGAGGTTCCCTCATCCTCGTCATGACCATCTTGACGCAGATGAGCGTCGCGAGGCTGCTTCCAGAGGCCTTCGCCCCGGACGCAAGTCCCATGCCGTCGGCGGGCTCAACCTCTCCCCCGGAGAGTGGAAACTCCTCGCCGTCATCTTGATAGTCGCGTCCGCAGTCAGACTCTTCCGCATCTCTCAACCAAACAGTGTCGTGTATGTGTTTTATATCAATCATGAAAGCCAAGACCCCCCTCCGAATCTCACCGCGGCTGCTCATTCTAGCTTCGATGAAGTGCACTTCGGCAAGTTCGCCTCGCGGTATATCAAGTCGTCTTACTTTGTCGACGTGCACCCGCCCCTGGCCAAGCTTCTCATCACCCTTGCTGGTTGGCTGTTTGGCTACGACGGTAACTTTGACTTCAAGGACATCGCCAAGTACGTCCGTCTTTCGTAGCGTTCTGAGGACGTTTGTTGACGTCATTGGCAGAGTGTACGAGAATGTGCCGTACGTCGCAATGCGCATGGTCCCCGCCTTGATGGGCGTCGGGACTGTCCCCCTTGCCTATCTCACCATCCGTGCACTCGACTGTCGTGTCACCACCGCCCTCCTCGCCTCCCTCTTCATCACCTTCGAGAATGGCATGATCACCCAGTCCCGTCACATCCTCCTCGACTCTCCTCTCATCTTCTTCACTGCCCTCACCACGTTCGCTTGGACTGCCTTCTGTAACGAGGATCACTATGAGCCTTTCACGGAGTCCTGGTGGATCTGGCTGTCCATGACGGGCCTTTCCCTCGGCGCAGTCGTTAGCTGCAAGTGGGTCGGCCTCTTCACTATCGCCACGGTCGGTCTAGGCACTCTCAAACAGCTTTGGGATCTTCTCGGTGATCTTCGCGTCACACCCAAGCTGTTCATCAGACACTTTGTGGCTCGCGCAATTTGCCTTATCCTGATTCCAATCATCTTCTACATGTCCACGTTCGGCATTCACTTCCTCATTCTGAGCAACCATGGCGAAGGAGACGGTTTCATGAGCTCTGAGTTCCAGCACACACTCAATGGGCGCGGTATGGCAGACACATTCGCTGATGTCGCTGTTGGCTCGCAAATCACCCTCCGCCATGTCAACACTCAAGGTGGCTACCTCCACTCGCACCCGCACCTCTACCCCGGGGGCAGCAAGCGTAAGTTTGCAGAAACATACTCATCGTTCAAGTGTCTATAGGCCTAACGTAAGCCCGTCTCAGAGCAACAGGTTACTCTCTATCCGCACCGCGACAATAACAATGACTGGCGCATCGTGAACGCGACTGCTGACGGCGACCCGTACACGAATTGGATGGATCACGATATCTCTTATATCACCTCTGGTACTCGTGTCAAAATTCGGCACATCCAGACTGAGAAGTCTCTGCACTCGCACGATGTACGCCCGCCCGTCTCCGACGTCGACTTCCAGCAGGAGGTTTCTGGGTATGGTATCCCCGGATATGCGGGCGACACGAATGACGATTGGATCGTTGAGATCTACAAGGGCGATAAACGGGACAAGGAGTCGGGCAAGCGTCTCAGGACCCTCAGGACCCAGTTCCGGCTGAAGCATGTCATGACTGGTTGCTATCTGTTCTCTCACAAAGTCAAGCTTCCCGAGTGGGGTTTCGAGCAGCAGGAGGTGACCTGCAACAAGCAAGCAGTCTTGGCCAACTCGTTGTGGTACGTCGAGACCAACTACCACCCTAAACGTAAGTCTCCAACCAACGGGCTTGCAATGATGCTGCTAACGTTCAAGTGCCGGAGGATGCGCCCAAGGTCAATTACAAGCTGCCTGGCTTCTTCTCAAAGTTCTTGGAGCTGCAACAAGTCATGTGGACCACTAATGCCGGCCTTACGGACCGTCACATGTATGATTCTCGTCCCGACGCATGGCCCCGTCTACGCCGCGGTATCGTTAGTGCTCAGCCCGTGAATTTTCAGTCTCATTGGTAGCTAACGTCACGCGTATAGAACTTCTGGGTCAAGGATCACCGCCAAATCTACCTTTTGGGCAACCCTTTGATCTGGTATCTCAGCACCGCTGCTGTGTTCGCCTACGCCGCTGTCCGCGGCTTCCTCATTCTCCGTGCGAAGCGCGGGTTCAGGGACTTCGAGAACAGTAAGTTCCGTTTACCGGCCATGATCCGTCAAACGTGTTGACACCCTCATTAGCGAGAGTGGCGAAGTACGACGCAATCTGTGGCTTCTTGTTCGTCGGCTGGGCTTTGCACTACCTGCCTTTCTACATCATGCGTCGTCAACTGTTCCTACACCACTACTTCCCGGCGCTGTACTTCGCCATCCTACTCTCTTGCTCCGTTTTCGATCTCGTCACTTTCGCGCTGCGCCCGCGCGCCCGACTGCAGATCGCTGCCGTGCTTCTCGTCGTCGCCATCTGGAACTACACATATTTCAGTCCTCTGGCGTATGGACTCCCTTGGACGAAGAGCAAGTGCTATAAGGCGAAGTGGCTGAAGACTTGGGATTTCTCTTGGTAAGAATAATATCTGACAAGGAATGTGTCCGAGCTAATGTATCGGCACCGCACCAGCAACGACTTCTTGGACAATGTGAGTGGTTGACACTGCTGTACACCGATGATCTTTATTCACTAATCACACCCAGTATTCGGATTACAAGGGGATTGCTCCAACTCCGCGAGCTTCGTCCCCCGCAGTTGTCAACCAGCCCGTGCACCAAGGTGTTCCAGGAGTGGTTCCCATTGGCGAGCCAGTCAAGCTCGCCGAGCAGCCTCCCGCTGAGGCTGACACGACCAAGGCCACTTTCGGCCAAGCGGAGCCCGGCCACGATGTCTTTGGCGGACATCCGCACAACGACTTGAAGAGCCAGGAGGGACAGACGCCACGTAAAATGGACGGGGATGTCGACGATCAGGAAATAGTGGTCAGTTCACAGAGCGCGGAGTCGGTCACAGAAGCGCCGAAGGTCGCCGAAGAGGCGACGTCGGAAATAGTCGAAAGCTCGCAGCCGGAGAGCACGTCGTCAGAAAGCACGTCACTCGCAGACACTGCAACCACGGCGGCTGAAGAGGCGGCTACTTCCCATCACGACCATCCCGAAGGTCCAAAAGTGGAGGAAGAGGCTGAGGCGGACCGCGTGCGTGCGGGACTCTTCTCAGACGCATAAAACGAAATGTCGCGCATCGCTTTCTTGTACCTCGTATGTTTTCTTCCATGCATCCATTGTCTGTCGTAGTATATATTGGTAAAGATTGTACATGCCCTCGAAGGACCTTGTCGTAGTATGTACGGTACATAATTTTCCCTAGTGCGATGCGGGTGCCATCGCTAGAAATACACTCCCTCAAGATAAGGATTACCGAAGCTGCGTATGCAGCACAGCGGCGATCATTCGCTATTGGTGCTCAACCGGCTGCCTGTGTCCGTTCTAGCATCTTATTCACCGCAACTGGTCTACCACTGGGTGGATGTGCCAAGTCTGTCATACGCTGCTCCCTCATTCGCAGAAGGAGCTGTACTAATGACATCGGAGTGACGATCTCGTTCTGCGCGCTGTCGTCCTGTGTAGACGGGGTATTCCCACTAGTGATTGTCCCGCTGCTGACAACGCTAGCACTTCTCCCAGCCTTGACCCCGCCCCTTCGCGTTCCGCCACTGGCGCTGCCCGACTTGTGCAGGAACGACGACCTTGCCGAATCCGCATGGACATCTTCGCTGTACCGATCCCAGAGCGCATACAACGAGATGATCTCCTGCGCGATGGTGGCGACAAGAGTCATGCTGACGTTGAGTCCAGCCATGAAACCTATGACGTCTTGTGGCTGCTGTTGTTTCTTCTGGCTGTGGGTCGTAGAGCGAGAAGAGCGACGTGTGGGAGAACCAGAATGACTATGGTGGGATGAGCCAGAGTGTGAAGGGGCTGATGAAGCGGGTTGCTGGATAGAGGCGCGAGTCGGCGCATGGAAGACGAGGGTCAAATAGATAGCGGCGATAGCGATGAGATGCGGAGGATACAGGAGGCAGAGTTCAGAGCGGTATGTATCGTTGATGATGAACCTGACAGGAGCCTGAGCATCTTGCGCCTGCGGGGAAGGACAGTAGGGAAGACCATACCATGCCATTTGCAGCGCACCTTCCTGTAGTTCTAATTTGCCTTCTCCCGTCCCCCAGTATCGAGGGCCGTCGGAATCATCCGCGTCGGCTTCACCTGCCTCTGCTTGAGGGAGGGAGACACCTCCCTCCTTTCCGCATAGCGTCACGAGCGTGCGGTAGGGATGGAAGACGGTGAGATCACACTCGAGTTCGTCGACGAGGTAGAACTCCATTTCGGCCAACTTGGAGTTATCCGAGGGGAAAGTCTTTATGCCGTATTCGTCTCCTGTATTCCTCTGACGTTAGAGTTGCAAAATGGCTTGAGAAGTGAGAGGCGTTACCGAAGAGTGTGCGAGCCTCAGTGACGACACTCCTGATGGCCACGGGAGCCTCTTCTGCCTTGGCAGCAACATAGCAGCAGGCGGCGATGACAATGAAGGGGTCGGTCTCACAGTAGGAGTTCTTCACGTAGAATCGACGGAAGAAGACGGTCGCAGTGGCGATAACCCTCTGTCTGAGTTGCAGCTTCTTGCCGAGCTTGGATATGACTGGGAGACGGAGAGTGGGGTCAATCAGGACAACGCAATGCCGAGGGCATTCCGAACAAAACTCACGGTTGGCGAAGAATATGTTGAGGAAGCCGAGATGCTCCGGGCTGTCTGCATACTGGAGGTCGTAGTAGCGGGCCTGGTGGAGGGTGGCCCTGTCGACGATCCATCGTTTGCTGCCGCAGCGAGTGCTGAGCGAGAGCCAAAGGGTGATTGGAGAGAAGACATACTAGTGGGAGCTGGACCAGAAGTTGGTGGCCATTGGGGGCGACAGGATTCGGGGACGTCGCACACTGCGTCCGAGCCGTCGCACGCAGCGCACGCGACAGCGACCCGAGCCGCTCCGAAGCCGGCAATCGTCTCTCAAAACGCAGCGTCTCGCCTCTTTCCCCACACCTTTTCCCCCTCCCTCGACGTTCCCCTCCCTTTCGACGACGACGACGACGACAGCAACGTCCGCCATGTTCTTCCGTGCCGCTACCCGCTCTCTCTCCGCCCAGTCCCGCCAGTTCTCCTCCTCGGCCGCCCGCCAGTCAAAGGTCGCTGTCCTTGGCGCCGGTGGAGGAATCGGCCAGCCCTTGTCCCTCCTCCTCAAGCTCAACCCTCTCGTCACCGAGCTTTCTCTCTACGATATCCGTGGCGCTCCTGGTGTTGCCGCCGATGTCTCTCACATAGACAGCAAGAGCGAGGTACGCGTCATATCCTCCCAGTTCGCGCTACGTGTAACCTCGTCTCGCCCCAATCAAGGTCCACGGTTACCCCGCCGACAAGCTCGACCAAGCCCTTGAGGGCACTGACGTCGTCGTCATCCCCGCTGGCGTTCCTCGTAAGGTGCGCATACTTCCCAACGCTGATCAAGGTTTCGATAGCTGACTTCCGTCGTCCGTCTAGCCCGGTGTAAGCACTGCTCTCGACCCTTCTTCCTCCTTTCGCTCTAACCCCGAGACTCGGCACAACCTAGATGACCCGTGACGACCTTTTCAACACCAATGCGTCCATCGTCCGTGACCTGGCTGCTGCCATTGCCCGCGTCTCCCCCAAGGCCCACATCCTCGTCATCTCTAACCCCGTCAACTCCACCGTCCCCATCGTCTCCGCCGTCCTCGAGAAGGCTGGTGTCTACGACCCTGCTCACGTCTTCGGCGTCACCACTCTCGACGTCGTCCGTGCCCAGCGCTTCCTCGCCGGTATTGTTGGTGCCGACCCTAAGGAGGTCCCCGTTACTGTTGTCGGCGGTCACTCTGGTACGACCATCGTCCCCCTCCTTTCCCAGACCCCGCACGGCAAGGGCGTTACTGGAGAGGCGTACAAGAAGCTCGTCCACCGCATTCAGTTTGGTGGTGACGAGGTTGTCCAGGCCAAGGAGGGTGCTGGCTCCGCGACGCTTTCCATGGCGTACGCCGGTGCGCGCTTCACTGGCGATCTTCTCCGTGCAATCAACGGCGAGAAGGGTGTTGTCACCCCCACCTTCGTCAAGAGCCCTCTCTTCGCTGACCAGGGCATTGACTTCTTCTCTTCGAACGTCGAACTTGGTGTAAGTCCCGCTTATTGTCGTACCCCATTAAGTCTCCTTGACACTCTGTCTTTCCCAGCCCAATGGTGTCGAGAAGATCCTCCCTCTGGGTCAGATTTCCGCCGAGGAGGAGGAGTTGCTCGCTGCCAGCTTGCCCGAGCTCAAGAAGAACATCGAGAAGGGCAAGAAGTTCGTCTCACAGTCTTAGACCATTTAGTGGTACCAGCCTATAGTCTTTCTACTGCCGTGCGACACCGTGCCAAAAGCGTTGTTGTACCACTAGAATATAATGTTCGCGGCACTTCCGGGTTAACTACCGAGACGAGATGCACGTTTTGTACCGTGTCCCTACACTTGCTCTTCAGAGCTCGTGCCGAACGAAGAAAATCTATTCACGTACGTCGAGGGGATGAGTATGTTACCTGTGATTCTTGCCCTTGCCCTTGACCGTGGTGAAGCCGTCTTCGTCGACTTCGGGTTCTTCTTTGGGCGGCCGTGGCCTCTCTGACAGCTGCGGTACTTCATCTTCCTCATCCTCTTCGTCGCTCATATCCTCCCAGTCGCTGTTGTCCCCAGCCGCTTCCTCCACATCCACTTTCTTCTCCTTCAGCTTGTCCGCCCTTTCCTCAAATTCCTTCAGCAACTCAGTCTTGCCCACCGAGACCTCCTCCCAAAGCCTTATGACATCCTTCGCGACTGCCTCCGCGCTCCCGTCCTCCAAGTTGGTGTCGAATTCATCAGCCATGACTTGCAATAGGCGATCCTCGACGTAGTCGAGATCTGGTTTGGGAATTTGCTCCTCGAAGTCATCGACGAGCACGGAGGCGAGCCAGGTGCGCTTCTCGGCAGATTCGGGGCCACCCCAGCCTTGATCGACGGCGATGCGAAGGGCAGGCCAGTATGCGAGGCGTGCGATCACGCCGCGAGCGAAGAAAACCGAGGATTGCGGTGGGCTAGAGGATGCCATGTAGATTCGTAGATAGCTGTGGTGATGAGAGGGAACAGAGGCTGAGCACTCTCGGCGGCAGCCTGAGCCTGCAGGGACCATGGCCTCCAAAAATTCGTGAGCGCTTCTCTGCGTCTGCTGTACGGGCGGGCACCTTCCCACGGCGCCCTCGCTCCTGAATCTGCCCTCTCTCTTCTCATCTTTCCTCCTCTGGCCGCCGTATGCTTACAGCCTTACAACAGCTCGTGGCAGATGCTCAGCGCTGTAGCAGCACGTAAAGCCCGTCTTGCTCAAAATCAGGCACAAACGCCTCCACAGACGGCCGCAGTGCCACCACTCCCTCCCGGGCCAACCTCCCAACCTCCGTCCGATTTCAGGAAGAAGCCCTCCTCTCATCAAAAGCCTCCTTCGAAGCGGAAGCCCAGCGCACCAGCAGGAAATGCAACCAAGAAACGAAAGGGTCAAAATCGTAGATCCTCCCCTGAGCCTTCTGCGAGGTACTTCGTCCAGCCGGACGCGTTCGAAAACCAGGAAGACATCATAGTAGTCAACGATAGTGACAGCGAAACATCGGTCGCATCCCAGGACACGCCCTCGGAAGGCGAGGCCTCCCGTATCCCCCCTTCTTGTCTCAATCCTCGTCCCGCTAGTCGCAAACGTGCATGGTCTTCGAGTGTCCCCCTACAAGACTCTTCAGACGAAGAGGTAGAGGATGCGGACGAGGTTCTCATACTCGATGCTATCGATCCACCTCCAGACGAGTCTGTGCCTGTTGCCCCTGCTTTGCTATCGACGTTTCGACCTGTCCTTGATCACAATGTCTTCCGCCTTAGCCCCTCGGATCTGTCGGCCAACAAGCGTACTGCCCTTCTGCTCTCCGCAGGGGACACCGTGGCTTTGCTTGGGACCTATTCCATCACTGTTTTACGAGGCACAGTCGACCTCGGCGGAGTCTCCTTGAACGCTTCAACAACCTCATATCCAGTCTTCGCTCCTCGCTCTTCCCCGATCCCCATCATCCAATGTCGCCCCCACAAAGGTTCCTCTTCGGACCCTGCTTTTCTATCAACGCTGCCCAACCGTGTTGCCGCCGCTTCAAAGGACTACGATGCCGCGATTATCTTACAGGAATTGCATACAGGTATCGAGGGATTGGGGAGAATATGCAGAACCTTTGACGGGTTCTTTGCTCCATCACGATGGCATCGTGGACGGGTGACGTTTGACTTAGGACTTGATACGGTGTATTATGTACGTTGTCGAATGAATTTTACTCATCATGCCCTCTCAACTGTCCATGTGTACAGCTTACACAACAAACATCTGATGTTGTTCCGTTGGACATCCCTCCGTCATGGGATGCTGCAGTCAAAGCCATCCTTCCGACATCCGACCAGGGGACCGATGCTACTGCTGAGAAGAAGATGGTGTACATCATCAAGGGCGCGAAGAACACCGGGAAGAGTACGTTTGCAAGGCTCATACTCAATCGGCTGCTTTCCAGGTTAGCCATTATTACGACTATAAGGGTGTCATATTAAACATTCAGCAGATTCCAACGTGTTGCCTACCTGGAGTGCGATCTTGGTCAATCCGAATTCACACCGGGAGGCATGGTGAGCTTGAATGTAGTCGAGCAACCCGTCTTCGGTGAGTATTCAGAGCTATGCGCTTAGCAATCGCCTTATCCTCTTTTCAGGCCCACCCTTCTCTCATCCCAGCATCCCGTATGCGGCCCATTATATCGGTGCGACTTCACCACGAGCGACGCCTTCGCATTATCTCGAATCCATACACGCTCTAGTACAGCTTTTTAACCTCGAGATACAGAGCGCCGCTGCTGAGGAGCTCGGCTCCGACGATGGTCGCTTCAATTCTTCCATCCCGCTAGTCGTCAACACAATGGGATGGACGAAAGGCCTTGGTGCAGATCTCGCACGCAAAGTCCAAGAAATTGTGGAACCTTCCCACATTTTCTCTTTCGATGCATCAGTTGGTGAGGAGTGGGACACTACAGGACGCGTAGACACCCTGCTGAGCCCTAGCGAGCTCGGCGGACCGCACGTTCAGTCCGTGGAACCCGTCCAGCGCCCGTCGACCTTGACCCACTACACCGCTGCAGACCAGCGAAATCTCTCTATCCTGTCCTACTTCCACGCCGTACTCCCCAACTCTCCCTCTACATCACTTCTTACCTCTCCGGTTGCCGCATCGTGGAGCTCGACTCTCCCTCTATGTGCTCAGCCACCTTACGAACTAGACCCCCGTGTGGCTTTCGACCAGCTCTTCCTCACTGGCGCCGGGACAGAAGACGTTACTCCGTCCGAGGTGCACCGGGCCCTCAGGTGCTCCGTTGTTGGACTGGTCAGCTGTCAGCCAGGGACATTGGACAGCGACGCCCGCATTGATGCTGAAGACGACGCGCGGCCCTCTCCTTTCTATGAACAAGGTGTCCTGCCGCCTTCGCCCCACACATCGAAGTGCTTGGGCCTCGCCCTTGTTCGAGCGATCTCGCCTTCTCCATCCTCTCGCATCCATCTCCTTACACCCGTCCCTCCTCATCTCCTCGGTTCAGCACGAGTACTTGTTATGGGCGAGCTGCAACTTCCTGTATGGGGACTGCTAGACTATCGCACTCTCGACGATGGAGGCGACATTGCCGGGTATGATCGAGAAAAGGTGCCCTATCTTCGCTGGGGCAAGGGTGAGGGCGCGGGCGGGGAGCGACGTCGTGTGCGGAGGAATCTGATGAGGAGAGCTCAGATGTGAACGTGAGTGAACGTTGTCCCGTACGGAAGATCCTCTCACAAAGACTGGAATGCCAATCATATTATTAGGTGCTTGTGCGAAAAGTAAACCACTAGACGATGCGCACAATCGTAGATATTATGCAGTACCAGCGGCAGAGACCGAGAACGCCAAACACCTACTCGAAGACGACGGCTACATCAGGGCCTTTGGTATCGAGCCAATTCTTCCACATTTTGGCGTATGCCTTATCTCGCAATTCCCGTCTGAACGCCCTGCTGTCCGGAAGAAGACGCGAAATACGGTGGATCTCTCTGCGGTCACGACTGCTGTAGTACTTGATCTGCTCTGGGGCCTCCCGAATTGTAGGGTGCATCTTCTCCGCGATTCATCAGTATACCTCCCTCGACGCAAAATCGCTCCGTACTCACAGGTCCAGGAAATACCATACGATGCCACTTACAGTATGCCTTAGGATGCAGGTAAACCTCCGTCGCCTCCGGGTCATCCTCCTCCTTCTCCCGGTATATGGGCAAGAGTTTCGGGGTGAAGTACCTCACCACCGGTATGTTTTTTGCCGCCTCGCATCCATCCCAAGATTGGAATGCTTGACCGAGCCTCTTTGAAGCCTTCCAATACTCTTCCTCTTCCTCCTGGGTAGCGGACCGGTACCTGGTATACCCCGTTCCATGCGTACAGTCCCGGGTGTGGCCAAACCAAGAGCATATTCGGGTGATTAGCCCCAGGTTCATTGGGTTGTAATTGCCTAAGACCACCCCGCCGGGTAACGCGAATGGCCAGTTATACAACCATAGGCTGAGAAAGGCTCGGACGAGGCTGTGGACGGTCTGGACGGAATTATGAGACGGCTGATCCAGTGCCGCAACCACTCTGGCCATCAGCAGGCGACTCACTATCCACGCCTTCATATGCTGAAGTGTGACGGGTAATGGGAGATGCATCTTTGAGTGGCTGATATGGTTTCTGGAAGACTGGTTGTCTCAGGGGAGAATGTGAGGAAGATGACACTAGCCTCTTGCTCGTTGGCACATGCTCTGCTGTCCACACCTGGTCCAAGCGTAACTTCCCGCACTCATAAGTGCGTTGTTAGGGTTCCGCGGCAATGTACCCCTGGGAGCCACGATGAAATGAAAATAACGTGCTCTGTAGTGGGACAAATAACCTGGTAAGTAGCGGAGATGGTTCTACAGGCCGGCTCGGGGAGATGTCATGAAATGGCCTCACGAGCTCAGACTGTCTGCGATGCATTGATTCTGCAGCTGGACGACAAGACGGTGGTGGGTCTGCATGTGGAGACACGCTCAAAGTCTTGTGCAGCACTGCGACTGCGTGGGTTTCAATCTTGTATTTCTCACTGACCTAAGTTGTCGTTTCGAAGCCCAAACCTGAGGCTAAATCCCGGACAGGCCGAACAGCAGTTGGGAGAATCGAAACTGCATACGCGAACTTTGAGTTGTACGACTCATGCCCGACATTGAACGCAACTCGCCTGAGGATATCCAAGCGTACCACTGTCGATGCATGCATGATTGATTCGCTAGTTATATCCGTTGAAATCTGCGCAGACTCGGAGTTCTGGTCGAAGTGAGACTTATGTGGTCTGCAGGAATGTCTGCAGAAGAAGTATTTATGTATAGGCGGAGAAATGGAAGACAACGCCTGGATACGCAAGCGCCGTGATGGGCGGCTGTAGCTCTGAGTTGGTGCAAGTACAGGCATCAGGACTGCTTCTCCTCCTTGTACCTGCTTTCGTCGGACGTGGGCTCATCGCAAGCACGCCAGCTACGGCCTCCTGTCGAGTTCTCACTTCCTCTGGCTGCTGGTACCCGTAGTATTCGATCTTGGGTCTCTATCCCGTCAATTGTAGACCGTCTTTGCCAGCCAGGCCCAGATTTCTCCCCTGCCAGCACCGTCCCTTCGTTCTGTGAATTCTTAGTTGCTCAGCTCGCTACGTTTGCCTGACTTCCCTGTCGTTCCTTCGCTCTCCCTTTTTTATTTCGGTCTTGGCTCTCTACTAGCTTCGTGCCCCACCTGAACCTCCACTCCAGCCATGTCCGATGACTTGATCCAGCACCAGATGCACGTCGACCATACCTACCCTTCTGACGAGGAGCATTCCGTTCTCGAGGACGACTCCGACGGCGAGGATAGGGACCTTGACTACATGGACGACGACGATGGCTCGTCCTCCCTCTCCATCCCAAACGAGTCTATCGACTTCGACCTCGTCTATGCCCTCCACAGTTTTGCTGCAACCGTCGAAGGCCAGGCCAATGTAGTTAAAGGCGATTCCCTCTTCTTAATGGACGACAGCAACAGCTACTGGTGGCTTGTCCGCGTCCTCAAGACCCAAGAAGTCGGCTACATCCCTGCTGAGAACATCGAGACGCCCTTCGAGCGGTTGGCCAGGCTCAACAAGCACCGTAACGTCGACGTACGTATCCTTCATGCTTCAGTCTGCTCTATCTCCCTCTATTCTGCGCAGCGCCACGGGTCTTCCTCCAGTGATATCTAACCCGATAATTACAGCTTGCTTCTGCCACGCAAGCGGAGCTTCAAGAGTCTCGCGACCGCCTGTACTCTTCCCGCACAGGGTCAAACCAAGCGCACACCCCTTCCCCCATACCTGGCCGTCAGCCATCGCAAAACTCCAGGCGCATTCACTTCAAACACTCCTACGGCGTACACCGTTACGCCCCTGCCATCTGGAATGAGGACGAAGAAGAGGACGAGGATGCAGAGTGGGACGACGAAGACTACGAGGACGAGGACCCGGAGCTTGCAGAAGAATGGGAGGAGCGCGAGCGTGCCGCGCGCGGTGGTGAGCAGGGGGCCTCGCAACCAAGCGGCCCTGAGCCCGACGATGGGATGAGCTGGGAGGACGGGGCCGCCGAAGAGATGCAGCGCGAGCGCCAGCAGCCACAACAACCGCTTCCTCCAGCCCAGATACAGATCGACGACAAGTTGCGCCAGCAAGGAGGCCCGCCTCAGGGCGCCGTCCAGCCCCTCCGCACCCAAGCCGCACGCGACAAGCTCGTCATCATGCAGGATGAGGCCGCGCCCAGTTCCCCCTCCTCGCCGGGCAGGACCATGGACCCCGCACAAGCGACAGAGACACGCAAGTTGTCAGTGACGCCACCAGTCGCTCGTTCGGCGGAATACGAGCCTTCCGCTCAGGGTGGCCCGCTGCTCCCCAGCGCTATCATGCAGCAGCAGTCGGAGGAGCGCAAACGCACTCGCGAAGAGATCGAGGCTCTGGAGGAAGCTGCCCGCAAGAAGGTCAACCTCAACGCTGGTAGACCTGCGAACGGCGCGGCACAGGCTAAAGTCACATCCACGGTCACCGTCAGCGACTCCGGATCGACGGGCAAATCGAGCAGTGGCAAACTGCGTAAGGAGCGGGATCGCGGGAATGACACAACAGACGATGAGGGCGGAAAGGATAAGGACAAGAAGAAAAAGAGCGGTGGTGTGTTCGGAGGGCTCTTCGGGCGAAAGAAGGACAAGGATAAGGATAAGGGCAAAGACAAGTCCGATACGGGCAGCGCCGTCAGCGTCGAGTCGCTCACTCGCGAATCTGAAGAATCCGGTCGTTCGCGCTCGTCGCCGCTCACTTCTCCCGAGGCCTCCTCCCCCGTCACGACAAACGCGCGCCAGCAGCAACAGCAGGCTATGATCATGCAGCAGAAGAATTCCACCGACCCCAAGCGCCCATTGCAGTCTGTCTTGATCCCACCGCAGCCCGAGACTCAGTCTCCCCAAACGAGTCCTTCGCAAGAGAATCCAACGGGTCAGATTCAGCTCTCTCAGCATGTCTCGCAGCTCCGGCAGCGCGATCAACAGCAGCAGGCTCTCTATCAGCAGTATCTCAACCGCTCGCCAGCTACGCCTCCGGAGGCCCAGCCGTCCTATGGCCTCCAGTCTGCTTCCGCTGTCTTGCAAGGCTCAATGTCTTTCGCCTCGTCCACGAGTTCTACTTCCGGTCTCTCTGTAAGCGGCTCCCGTCCACGTCCGGGCTCCTTGGTCCTATCTCCGACTTCCATGGACGGACAAGGCGTCGGTCTACCCGACCTCAGCGTTGTCCGTGTGTTCGCGGGAGACCACCTCCAGACCGAGGCGACGTTCAAGACGGTGTTACTCAACAACTCCACGACGGCGTCGGACCTGGTCCGCCAAGCCATCCAGCGATTCCGTCTTCCTGCCGGAGAGGATGAGAAGGAGTACTACCTCACCATCAAGCAGGTGGAGGGCTCATCGGCGGTGCTCCGTCCCGAGGAGAAGCCACTTGGTGTCTTCGAGTCGCTCGTGGAGGCTGCTCTGGAGTTGCCGAAGGTCAAGCGTAGCAGCGTGGGTAGTATCAGCTCCGTCGCCAGCAATCTTTCGATGCATCCAGCGATCAAGAAGCTGTCGATGAACGACTTCACGGACGACTCTCAGGTCAAGTTCTACTTGAATCGCCGTAGTCGGGCCGACGATAGCATCGGTGACGAAGGCGACGACACGCTTCTTGCTGAGAGTGTTGATGGAGATAACGAGTCTACGCGTGGCCGAGGACATTTCCTTTCTGTGTCTACTTCTGGTGGGAACACGGTTCCTCCAGAGCGCTTCAGCTCGCCATCGTTCCGCTTCGGCTTGCAGCTCGTCATCTATCCTGACGACCTCCCAGACGACATGGTCTTTGATCCTCAAACCGAGGCGATTGTCTTTAAGAACACGCTCCGCAACCGTCCGCAGGCGAGCCAGGTCCCTTCGCCGGGCATCAGCCAGAACTTCCGCAAGAAGATCTTTGTTTTCCCCAAGAACATCACTGTCGCCGAGGTCATCGAACAGGGCTTGGACCGCTTTGGCATACCTGAAGGTGTCGTGGACGGCGGAGACGAGATCGAGGACAAGCAAACCAAGCGAAGGAGCTCTTCCCGCGTCCGATACGGTCTTGCCGTGGAGGTCAATGGCAAGGGTAAGTCACTCGCAAGCGGACAGCCTGTCTTGTACTAACAACATGATTAGAACGCGAACTAGCACCTTCGAGCAAAGTTATTGATGCTTTCCCGCGCCCGCCCGCTTACCGCCAAGTTGATCGTAGGTTCAGTGACAGCAAACGTCGATCCATCGACTCTGCGCAGTTGCTCTTGGGTTCGCTTGACGACGTCCGGCCTGACGACCCTATCTTCATCCTCCGTCGCGCCGTCGCCTATCGCAACTCCTCTGCTCGGCATCGCTCGTCGGCACCCCTTGACGAGCTCGCATTGCAACAACTTCGAGAGTCGGTGGCTAGCTCGAGCACAGCATCTGACACCACTGCCCATGAAGAGCCCAAGCGCCAGATGTCCAAGCAGGAGCTCATTGCAGCTCAGCGTGCGGCTACACGCGCCAATCAGCGCGCCATCCTTTCTGCGCAGGCGAACTCAGCGCGGGGTCTGGACGTCCTCCTGCCAAGCAATGCCATGATTCGAAGCTCTCGCTACGACGTTGACGATAGGATGCGTTACTCGTATGTTGAACCTGATGGCGAGACGTACGATATCAGCGACATTGTCGAGAAGGAATGGCGGAACGAGGTCGGACCTTCAGGCCACAAATCTTCTTCGTCCGGTGACAATCTCGATCTCCTGCACGGTGTCCTTGCCCATGGCAAGGATGGCTTAGGCGCGAAACTCGATCGGGTACTTAGCAAGATCAAGCATGAGAAGGAGACAGGGAGGGCACCGGTATCACAGGCCTCCTCCGACCAGGGCTTCGGCTCCGCGCGTAGCAGCACTGACTCGGCCTATCCTGCCTCGGAGACCGCACAGGAAGTGTCGTCTTCCCGGACAGCTACCCCCACTGCACGCGATGCTGCCAGGTCGAATTCCGCCGCTGCAACTAGCCAGCGTGTCGGATCCCCGGCCGTCTCCAGATTATCTAGCTACCGTACTGCCAGTCCGGGAGAGTCAGACATGTCCCGCGCACCCACTGCTACCCCGACCTCAGGCAGTCGCATCCGTGGATATCCTGCTCCGCACGAGCGGCAAGCATCCTTCGCATCTGCCGTCTCTGACTACCGAACTGCTACCCCATCCTCGCCACTCCCGCTGGGTGGCATGGCGGCGATTCCCGCTCGGAAGGACGATCGGCCCAAGCTCGTTCTCCCAAGAAATGACTTCGGTCTGAACGAGATGATGGCGGTCATTGAGATGCGCGCTTCGCTAAACAACAAGATACCCGAGCATCAGCCGCTGGATTCGGTCGAAGAGATGTTGTTTGGGAAGCCCATCGAACCGCACACTCTGCATCCCGATATCAGAGATGTCTATGCTAGCACATTCAAGCAGCTGGAGGAAATGGATCAGGTAAGGTCTTGGCCTGTCATGCACCATTCATATGGTCGCTTACGATTGCTCCGCAGACTCTGGATGAGCTTTTGCAACAAGCAATACACGTCCACTAAGCTGTTGACGGTATATTCATCGCTCTTTCGCATGTATCTTACATTCGCCACATTTGGTTAGTATTTATGTGGATTTCAGGACGATGTCACTCTGCCTGTAAGTTTGAAGTGAACTGGTCGATCCTACCCAAAGGTAACAAGCCTGGTAAAGTGATCGGAGGTTTGGTCTTCGCCACGAGTATGACCGACCATGCGTGGTCATGCCCTGTCAGAGGACGCGTCAGATGCGTTCCAGGCGGGCTCGTGGTGGCATGGACGAAAGTGAGTCAGCGGGACGTCGTTCTCTTCCGCAGAGGATCTTGCTTCGATGACTATCGAACGCAGGCAACTCCACGGAAGAGAAATTCCCCCCACAAGGAAGGGATGCCCCCGAAAGGGCGGTGCTCCGACCAGCGGAACACCGTTTGCTCTCCGAAGAGAGGATCTTTAGCCTCCATGTCTCCATCCACAGAGGGCCCACCGCTGGGCGCGTGCTGCAACTCCCCCGAAGGGAGGTCACAGACTTTGCCTACACGCACCGGACGTGTGGCTCCCGAGCACGGAGCAACGAAGCAACGAACGGCGAGGGCTTAGAGTTGGCGTACCCCACCGCCCATCACCCCGCACCCCACCACCAGCCGAGAGGAAGAGTTTGGAAGAAGGCCTAAAAGGCGGCGACTCCCCGTACCCTCGACCGCCCCCCTCGCTCCCGACCAGAGGCTGCCCGTACCGGAGAACGAGCCGAGAGAAGAGGTTGGTCGTACGCATCAGGGTTAGACCCAGTACCGCACACCGCGCCCGACCCTGCGACAAGTGCTCCGTTGGCCTCGAAGGTACGACGGATTGAAGAAGGATTGACGAGGCATGAAAGCCGGCGAGTCTCCGTACCACCGCCGCACCCTCCCCCGTCGCACCCCGTCCCTGGCCTGGAGATCTAGATGAAAATGAGGAAGTCAATCGCAACGAGTCCGAGTCTATGTCCGAGTCCGAGTCCATGTCCGAGTCCAAGTCCAAGTCCGAGCGCGGAGCGTCCAAGTCCGTGAACGAAACCGAAACCGAAACCAAACCCGAAACCGAGAACGAAACCATAACCAAAACCGAGAACGAAATAGAAACCACCGAAACCACCGAAACCGTCCAGTCCAAGAAACCAAGCCGAAACACGAAACACAACAACGTCCAGCCAAACACCCCCGACGCGGGAGACCAGGTTCACCGAGGCGATCAACTCCCTCCCCCAGCCTCACCAACGCCAACCTGTCGGCACTGTCGGTCTTGAGGGTCGAGGTTCGAGGTTCGAGGTTCGCAGCTTGAGGTCGAGTCGGTCGGCTTGCGTCGTAACGTAGTCGTGGTCCGTCGGGGAGATCTGCGGAGAGAAAATAGCAGTAACACGAATGCGATAGGCAGACGAAGCAAAACGAAATGCCCTAGTACGTGCGTCGTGCCCGCGATCGTCAGGTCCATGACTCCCTCCCACGAACAACGGCGCGACGTGTGTCGGGCATACCTCACGGGCACACGGGCCCGTGATCCTGGGTCCAGGGTCTTCGGCGCGCGCAGGCTGTCTTGATGGTCGTCCTATCTTGATGGTCGGTTGGGCTAGATGGGGGAAGGAAGGGGGGGAGGAGGATGACTGTGGGATGTACTGAACTTATGTCCTTTGTTGGTTGGGATCGAGGCTGGCTGGCTGGCTAGGCTGACATAGAGGCATTATTCGGTTCACGTACTTGTGCGGTTCGGTCCCAATAGCCCGACGATTTGATAGACCACATACATGGGATGTGATCTATGCGTGATTACAAGTGCTCGAGTGCGCCAGCGCATGCGGCACAACGTAAACTTCATATCTGTAAGGCTTGACGCGACAATAACTTAATTCCTGAGACCCGCAAGAAGACGCACTCGATTAGTCGCTGTCGCTATCGCTACTGCTACCGTCGCCCTTCTCCTCCTGATCGTCGTCCGTAGTGCTCTCGTCATCCTCGTCGTCCTCCCCGTCCTCCCCGTCCTGCGGCTGCGACTTCTTCACCGAGCCCCCGCGCATGAGCGCCATCTGGCCCGCGAGCGAGTCCTCCTCAGGGTCCGAGATGTCGTCCTCGTCGTTCGCGTCGTCCGCGTTGAGCACTGACGGGTCGTCGATCTTGAGCACGACGTCGCGCGACGCCTCGTCGCCGACAAAGGTATCGTTCAGGACGATGACCTTCCACGTGAAGAGGCCGACGTTTTGTGGTGCCTGGAACTGGATCTTGTACGCCCGGTAGTCGATGCCGCGCTGCGTGTCCGCGACGGGGACGTCGGTGACCTTGATCGGGGGCACAACGACCTTGTTCGACTTGACATCGGCAAGAACGATCCACCATGACGGCTTCCGGTTCTGCACGAAACCTAGCTCAGCCAAGATGCGCAATGAAGACGGGGCGTGATACTCACGGCGGGCCAATATGGTGTATGCGCGTATTGGCTGGCGTAGTCGCCGTTAGGGAGATCTTCCGCGTCCTTTTTGCTCAACAAGAACTCGTTGTCGCGCTTCTCATTCTCCTTATCCTGCTTAGGGATCGGCACTGGCTTGCCGTCCTTGTCGAGAGGATCCACACGGAGCTTGACGACCAAGTGCACGAACGAGCTGGGGGTTACGAAGCGCTCGCCAATAACCTTGAACGAAGCGTCGACAATCTCAGTTTGGCCAAGGCACTCCAGTGCCTTGTGGGCATTGACAAGCTCAGATGATTCAGACTTAGAAAGTGTTGACACGGCGTCGGAGAAGTCGGTAGACTCGGACTTTGAGAGAGCGGCAGCTTCGGACTGTTCGATACCGGGAAGCTGAGCAGCCTTGAGGTCCGCCTTGCTAGGAAGAAGGGCCTGAGTGATGTACGCGTGTAGACGCATGGCAGCAAGGGTAGGAAGAAGCCAGTTTCGGGACATGGTGATGTTCAGCATAGAGTTGAGGAGTGTGGGCGTCTGCAGAAGAAGTTCGGTTTGCTCTGAAGGCGAGGGCCATTAGCGTGATAATTGACCGCGGTCATGAATAGACGAACCTTTCTGCAGACTGGAATTGTGCACAGGCAACCGGAGAAGGTGCGCATACAAGAGGACGAACGCTCGCCTTCGGCTGTCGTGCGCACCGGGGACAGCCTCCGCTACTTTGACGAGCTCAGTCCACTGGGCTCCGAGCTGCTCCTTAATCTGCGTCTCGAGTTGATCGAGTTCGCCATCAGCCTTGGCGATCTTGACGCGGTGCTCGTATTCGAAAGCCTTCCCAAGAGAGGTAGTGACATCATCTATGCCAGACTCCTCTGTGAGGGTCTTGAAGAATGTGGCAGCGCTGCGGGCGTGAACGCCATCCTTTGTCTTTTCCATATTCCCGAACCACCAACGACCCTGCCAATATCCCACTTGAACGCACGCTCTCTACGCTGAACCGGAGGAACTTACAACAAGGGCAGGGAGTGCACCGCCGAAGATGATACCGTACGCGGCGAGGACCCAGATGTTGTCGCTCATCCATGAGGGAAGTGCAATGGCCGTGTTCACTTCCTGGCGACCGTCCGGATGGCCGTGGTTCAACCAATTCTGCCGGATTGTCTCGTCTGTCAACCTGCGATTGATGTCGGTCAGTGATTACAGGAGATGAAGGGGAGAGACGAACGCTTTGTAGGCTTTGGTGATCTCCACGAACTTGGCTTCGACCATCTCCATAGTCTCGTTCACGCCAAGCTTGACCTTGTCTGGGTGGCTGAAGAGAGCCTTAAGTATGAATTGGCAGTTGGTGAGGCATTAAGACACACAATTTGCGAGAGAGCTTCTTGTAGTGGGATTTGATATCCTTGACGGTCGCGCTCTGAGGACATGCGCATATGAGCACGCCGGAGAGGGTGGTTCGAGGTAGATGACGACTCACAGTGCTGATGCCAAGAATCTCAAAGGGATCGTATATTTTGGAGGTGTTCTCAGCTGTCAAGATCTTGTAGGCGAAGAAGGCGGTGATTGACCAGCCGGCCAATATGATGAAAGTTCTAACGGAGGCATTAAGCATTCCACATGAAGCGAACATTCAAGTAGGGTCCTGTAGCGATAGACACCTTCTCCTTAGCTTGGGCGAGAGGAGGGAGCCGCGCTCGCGCTTGCGAATACGTTCGCGCTGGGCAATGCAATGCTGGCATTGGCAACCAGAGAGTGAAGGAGATTCTGAAGCAAGGGTTGAGCGGATGAAGCGGCAATCAGGTGGACAGACGCATACTAGTCGATGAGATGGCAGCGAGGGTGTATGGGACGAGGAAAACGGAAAGGAAGCTGAAGACAAAGTACGAGACCATGTTGCCGGTCTCGTCATAGTTGTGTTTGGCCATCTTGGCCGGCTGGACGTGGTATCGGGCTCAAAGTGTGCTAGAGTACAGAGAGAGCAAGCGCGAGGTCGCGAGGGGGAGAAGGGGGCGAACACGTCGAGGCGGGAGACGAGAGACGGAGACGGAGAATGCGAGTGCTACTCGGTGGACGTGTCATGGCATCTGCTGGCGCACGTGAGCCGACGCTTCACCGAGCGCCATCCTCGAGCTCCAGTCTTGCTGCACGCGTCCATCCACCCGCCATGCGCGTAAAAGTCGAGAGCGTCGCGCCGCTCCCCCATCTCAAGGCCTGGTTCACTCTCAACGCCATCCCCACCGTTCACGACCTCAAAACTGCCCTCTGTATCGATCTTCTCCCCTTCCGTGACGCCGCCGTGCACGCCCAACAGCTCACACTTCTTCTCGACGACTTCGAGCTTCTCGACTCCAGCCCAATTGATGTCGTCCGCGATGGCGACCTCATAGTGTGCGTCTGCTTACTCTTTCTGTCGCCCCTCCCCCAACGAAGGCTCTCATAATAGCCATCCGTCTTCTCCGTAGTATCAAGAAAGCTCCCGCTCCTGCTGCCCATAAGCGTAAAGCAGCGGCACAAGGTGAGCGTCTTCCCCTGCCAATGCATCGCATCCCTTGACCTCTTCAAGACGCAAACAGTCCTGCAAGAAAGCGGTCCAAGACAAACGACGGCAGAGCGCTCTCCAAGCCTCCTGCAGTTCCCCCCAGTCGTGCCCGTCCGAAGCGACACACGCCGCCCGCATCCTCCTCAGAGTCCAGCTCAGAATCGGGTACCGATTCGTCCGGCTCAGAGTCGAGTTCTTCCGACTCCGATTCTTCGTCCGACTCCGAGTCAGACTCTTCGACCTCTTCCGATTCCTCTTCGTCGTCCACAAGCTCAAGCGCACCCTCTGTACACCTGCCTCGCCGCAGATCTTCCACACGCACCGCAAATGGTGTCCAAACTGGCCCGAAGGAGCAAGTGACCGCCCCCAAGCCGTAAGTCACCTCCCATACTCAAGTACACATCGCCTGCGAGGCACTAATCCGTATCAAAGCGCTCCCGGTACACCTCCCGTTCCGCCCGGACAAGGAAAGCCTTCCACCCACAGCCGCAATCTCCGTCGCCGCCGCAAGAAGCTGTATGAACGCATCGCCCTAACAGCCGAGCCTGCCAGCGTGAACGAGATCCCCCTCGGCACACGCGCTCGCACGCTTGAGCCCCCCGCGACCGCTATATCTACGCCCTCCGAGGAACCAGAGTCTCAGCAGTCCAAACCTGCAAAAAGCAAAGGCAAAGGGAAAGCTCGAGAGGGGAGCGGCGACGCCGAGCCGCCAACCTTCATGATGGCGTCCTTGTCGAACAAGAACAAGCGGCGCGGGTTCAAAGACGCACTCATCCGAGGCGTCCCCGCCAAGATCACGTTCACCGATGGTGTATCAGTCCCTAGCACGTCCAGCGCAGGACAGGTGGACGCGGCCGCGATGCAAGTGGACGCCGATGCGGACGCGCTCGTCGTCGCAGCTTCTCTGCAGGCCCAGGAAACCCCTCGGCGCACGCAGCAACCGCGCCTCGTCCCTCCGTCCGAGAAGCAGGAGCGCGGGCTGCTGCCCCCGAACATGTTCGTCACGAGCATCGACGTCGAGGAGGGCATGTGGCTCTCGAGACGGAAGAACAAGAAGAAGAAGCAAAAACAGCCGATAGAGGAGCCTTGGGACCAGGAAGCAGATGCGACGTTCGCGGAAGGTCTGCCGTATGACGACGAGTGTGCCCAAGCCGCTTACCCCGCCAGCAACAACGCCAATGGTGCTGGGACGAATTCGGACAGCGGAGAGGCTACGGAACGTGCTGTCGTGGCCGCTCGCTGGGATTCTCTCCGGAAAATCACCGACAAGTCTCAGGTGTCTGTGGGGGCGACGGTTGCGTGGAAGGTATGCCAAACGTCGGCCAGAACTCCGCTGCTGGCACTCATCGTACTGTCTACAGGCATTGGGAATCAACTCTGCCACTCTCACGCCGGAGATGCTGCTGCATATCGCACGTGTCCTCCAGTGCGGTGATCAGCTCATCGTTCAGCCAATCACCGAAGCTGGCACAGGTGGGGTATCGTTCGGCGGCGTGGTCGTCGAAGAGGAAGGTGGAGCAACGGAGGAAACCTTCGAGTGGGCAGATGTCTTTCAGGGCGATTGGCGGCTGGTGGTATCCCACTGAGCTCTCGGACATCTGCTGTATCTCATCCTTACTACCCATCTACACACGAAGGCATACTCCACGGCTACATCAAACGCCCACAACAAATCAAAAGTGTGAATATGTGCCTATATCCTTACCGTTCCCGTTCTCAGTCATCTCATGCGACAATGGGACAACCTCGATTCCACTCGGAGATCGACTTATCCACGTCATCCATGAGCTCCTTGACAATGGGATGATACTCAGGATAATCCCGCCACTTCGCGAACATCCGCACGCGTTCGGAGGTGCTCAAAGACTGACGGATGGTGGAACCACCATCAATGTCCAGTTTCGCCAGTCGCAGAGGTGCACAAGGCTGCCACCCGAAGCCAGAAGCGTGTCGACTCATTGTCGGACGCTTGATAAAGTCCGGGAGAGCAGGCACGTCCGGGAGCGAATCGAATGCGAGCTTCGCGAGAGACCGGTGAGAACGCCTCTTCGCAGGGGGTGTGCTCGTCGTGAAGTTAGCCCGGTCTTGGAGGAGCGGATTCCGGCTAGAACTGAGGAAGGAGTCCTGGACAGAGAAGCGCTCTAGTTTGTCGTTGGCTAGGTTGGCTAGATTGATGCTTGAGGAATACGGTAAGATTAAGGACGCTGGATCCGGATCGTCGTTCAGGCTCGCGTCCGCTTGATCAAGCAGTTGTGACCGCACAGAAGTCGCCGAAGTAGAGGTTGACCACGCGGAGCGAAGGGGAACGTATGCCGACGTCGTCCGGCTGCTTCCCGCCCCGTTAAATGGCTTACTCGAGCCCGTCGGAATGTGGGTGTGCCGTAGTGAGGACGAGGATTCCGAGTCGGGGATGGGCAGCTTGAATCCGAACTCAGCGTAGATGGCTTGTCTTCTGGCTGCGAACTTGCGACGACGAGAGTCGTCGGAGGACGCCGTCGAGGCGAAGCTGCTCTGCGTGGCTGGCCTGCTTGTCACAAGATCCGCGAGGCTGTCGTGCGGGGAGATCGAAGGTTGGGAGTATACGGACCCGGAGGAGTCTGGACGTCCGCCAATGAGCGAATTTATCGAAGAGGACGACGAGCTTCTTCGGCCTCTAGATCTCTCAGATGACTCCCTGTGAGCCGTGGCGGATAATGAGGCAATCTCCTGGATGTTATCATCACTAATATGAGGGAATGCAAGACGGCCTGAGGCCGAATCCCGGTGGCTGTGAGTATCAACATCAAACTGTGCGGTGGACCACGATGCACTAGGAGGCTGTAGCTGGCGACCGACTGAAGATTGCGAGTCCTGAGACGATGATAATGTCGATAGTTTCTGGATAGAGTCGAGTGCAGCTGATAGTCGTCGGGCTTTGTGGCTAGGCTGGTCCTGAACGAGAGTGAAGGATGTTGGTGTACAGGACGCTCGGCTCTGCGGGGAATGCGTACAGGCCGCGTTTGGGTTGGGCGTAGAGAGGCAGTCGAACACGGGGGAATCGAAGGCGTCGGAGATGAGGTCCTCTAAGATGCTGTGCTTCTCTTCCTCCCCTGTGATGACAGAGTCCGGTGCTTGTGTACCCTGTTCACTCCTTGTTGAGTGATTACTGGGGTAGTTAGGAATGACGACACGTACCGTATCCTCTTCGTACAAGCGTGAGCTCGATGGTGGATGCCCGTCCTCACCATCCTGCCGACGCGTCTTCCAGTTCCACTGTGTCATTGACCTGGGGATCAAAGTGGGTCGGTCTTGGGGACGCTTCTTGCTGCTAGGAACGAGATGGAAGCGATGCGGTAAAGGGGACTTCTGTATCTCCTTGAGGTTCGTTCGTGTTGCTGTTGTCCGCGTGAGTGCAGCTGTTGAACGGTTCGTGTCCTGCTCGAAATGTTGGGTGTAAGATAGAACGGTGCAAGTGCTGCTGCGAGTGTGCCCTTGAGAATACGTGCTGCTCCGATTGAGGGATTCACCAGAAGGGAAGATTCCGAGGCCGTCCCCACGAGAAGGTAGAGGGGAGAGGCTTCGAGTCGGACTTGTTGCCATGTTCCTGAAGTCTACAAGAGGTCAAGAGGGGAGAGATGAGGAGATTTGCTGCGAGATGCGACCGATAGGGTTGAGGAGGACGGCAGTCGAGAATCTGTAGTTGTCAGTAGGGGAAAGGGTCAACATCGATCACGATACCGTCGCATGAACCGGTAGGAGGGTTTCAGCACATCTTCACGGTGAAGAGGTTATCTGAACCGCGATGTGCGGCATGTTGTGACAGAGTTTACAACGACTTTTCATCTATACATTGAGAAGGGCTCCGTTTCTACCGTCGATGATACAGAGGAATTATCGGGCTGTTGAGCCTGCGCAGAATAATTTCTTGCAGGGTATACCTTATTAAAAGCATAAGTTCCCAGTATGTGGCCTACGGACCTCGGCAAGCTTGGGGTCACCAGTCAGTGAGGTGAGCCACACCAGCAGCTATGTATGGGTGCTCGAGACTCACCGTACCACTTCAGCTTGACGTCGTTCCCTCGGCCCCCAAACGGAGCGAGGTAAGGAGATCTTGCAGTCGCTTGCGCAACTTCGTCACGAGCTCATCTTCATCTCCCGCAGGAGGGGGCTAAGGAAGACTGCCCTTCAGTTCGCATGATAGATTCACGTCGACTGAGATTGTACCAGCTGATCGAGAAGATACTGCGCAACGGAAAGGAAATTGGGTTCTACCGTCGTCACGGTACACTGTGCGGACTAGAGGAGCCTACCTCTGCTTCATCTATAGTCTGCAGGGCGCGTGTTGGAGAAGAGTAGATGTTACTACACAGTAGCCACTTACAAGGATGATGGGGCCACTACCGAAAGAGCAAGTTAGCCGGCTGATTGTAACGCGAGCACGGGGGACAAGATAGAATACCGATTCATTTCTGTTTTGGGGGAAGGAACGAGATGATCGGTATGAGAGGCGCACAGATCCGCTTTGGAGATTGACTCACCGGGCAATGCGATGCAAGGCGATTTCTATCAGAGAAGGAGGTCGACCCGAGCGAGCGGCGTTGAGTATCAGACAGGCCAGATCGAGATGTCCGGTGGCGCGTACGAGACGGGCGTCTGACGGGCGTCTCCGTCTTGTTCTCTTGTCGCCGCCGTCCGCGCAGACTCTCACCGCCAAGTCCCGACTTTGCACATCTTGCCGAGGGGCCAGTGCCTGACAGAATATCAATATCACCCGCCGTGCTGGCCAAGCATGGCGCGCAACATCATGTCCACACCCACTCCGGTCTCAGCCCCTGCTCCCCAGGCCCCGGACAGCCCGCGCGAGTCCGAGTCCCCTCCGCCCCCGGGGCCGCAGGGCGACCTCGAGATGGAGCTTCTCAACCTCGCGCAGATGCTGTACAACCTCGGGACGACCGTGGTGAACGATCTGACGAAGGAGAAGGACAAGCCTGGCAATGGCAAGAACGTCGGTGCTCGAGTGTGAGTATCCACCCACCGGCCACGTAGCCACATCGGGTCCCAGCTCTCTCGGCCGGCCGGTCTTGATTGACAAACAAGAACCGGGCCTCGCTTGATTTGCAAATATGTCAGGCTACCTGCCGTTCGTCGCTCCCCATACCCCTCCGCATGCCGTGTGGGCGTGCTGCCTTGCTCGTTGTCTCTTCGCGTGTCGCTGACGGTGGCACTGTGCTGCCATGTTCCTTCTCTAGAAATCACGTTATCAAGTCGTTGGGAGTGCTTGAGGAGATGTCAGAGACAATCACGACGATGGTGCCTATGCAAGTGCTCGCGGACATCGACAACTCGCGCAACCCGATGCAGCTCACAAAAGACCGGCTCGAGAGAGCAGCGACAGAGAACCAGTTTATGAACGGGAAAATACAGGCTATTGAAGTAAGCGCTCTTTTCATCGTTTACACCCCTGGCGACGCGTTCGTTGTCGTGCGTTTGGGAACAAGGTAGCTGATATGGATCTCTGCGTAGTCGTACAGGAAGATGCTTGACGAGGCTCTGGTGCAGAATTTCCCGGAGCTGGGAGAGCATCTCATGGGCTCTTCTTTGCAAACGGCCGCGGGCCCACATTCTGTCAAGATGGAGGAAGACGCGACGGCTGGGCCGAGCAACAACTTGAACGGGCATCCGAACGGGGTTTAATTGGGGACTGGCGCAGTCCAATGCAAGCCCTCCACATGACAATTACGACATTGGTTCGCGGCCCGAGGATGGAGGAGGGGCGCTCTCAGGGGCGTTTCACATCCTCGCAATCCGTGAACGGGCCGGGTGCCATCGCAACCAATCGGTATCCCCGCGGATAAACTCGGCATTGTGAACGCTTGACTAGAACGAGCGAGGACGACGGCACGTTCAGACCGGACAAGACTCGAGGGTTGGTGGAGTTAAATACTGCCGTCAGCGGGTTTGGTTGCACATGGCGCCGGAAATGGAGGGGTGGACACAGGACGATTGAAGTGAGAATGAAGGGATAGATTGGGCGAGCCTCGAGGCTGAAGGTACAGTAGTCTGGTAGGATAGACGCGGTTCTGAGCATGTTCCACGAGTGTACGATGGCTGTATGTATTGAAGCTTGGGGTGGCGACTGAGGTGACCGGATTCCGGAGGTGTGGATTTGAGAGAGATCTCTCCCGCGGTGGCTGTCCGATAAGCTGGGCCATCTGCCATCGCCATCTCCCGCACCCAACGACGGAGCTCAGATCGCAGCGTGCGAGGGAGACTGAAGCCGTCTGTACATTCGCCCGGGAGAGGTGAGACAGCGAGCAGCACGGCCTCGAGCTTGTGCTGCCAGAGGAGAGTGTCAGCTATCTACGGTGGTTACCATCAGCCCCCACAACGGACCTCCTCCGTCCACGACAATCTCTTCTCTTCTCCACCGTCTCCCACGAGCCCTCCTCCGTCCACGCCCTCCTCCGTCCACGCCCTCCTCCGTCCACGCCCTCCTCCGTCCACGCCCTCCTCCGTCCACGCCCTCCTCCGTCCACGCCCTCCTCCGTCCACGCCCTCCTCCGTCCACGCCCTTTCCCCCCACCACCGCCCCTCACTCACCATCCCGCACTTTTCGCACAACAAGTCCGTTCTTTGCCGTGGCTCTCCCGTCTTCTTTCCGCTCGCCCTCCCAGTAATTCCGCCTCGTCTTCGCCACACACCACGACGCTCCATGTCCAAATACCTCGACGCATATACCGCCCTCTCCCCCTCTTCCCCTCGCTCCCAAGTCTCCTCCGTTCTCCAGTCCATCACAGATGGTAAGCTCTCACACTCGCACGCCATCTCCGCTTCTTTCCCTCTCAGTCCGCTCACCGCCCGCTTTCCTAGCACCTCCACTGACGATTGATGATGCAAAACGCCGCGATCTCATCCAGACGATAATTGACGATCTCTCCAAATCGAACGGCAATGGCGGAAAGAAGAGGCTCTCTTCCAAAGGTCCGTCGTCTCGCCCTTTCCTTCTCCCGCGCGCTTTTACACCGAGCATCAGAACTCATCCGTACCTCTCTAATTCAGACGCGGCGCCCGCTCTACAAGCTGTAAAGTCTCTTGGGAAGAACCCTGCGGGGTCGGAGGTCATCGCCACCTCCCCCAATCTCTCCGCCCTACTCTCATTGTACCATGCATACAAGGACATTCCAGAGGCCTCGAATGAAGCTCTTCGTTGCATCGCAAATGCGATGCTCCTAGTTGACCAGGCCCGTGCAACCCTTGTCGACAAGCAAGTTGGTGGTGGGGATTTCGCCGTCGAGTTACTCGAGGTGCGTCCTACACTCGTGTGTGCACTAGACGTCCAGCTGACTGTATCTACCCTTCGCCAGAAATCGACGGTCCCGGAACGAATATTCCTTGCGTCTCGCATCCTGTTCTTGTCCACCGTGTCCACCGTCCATGCTGGTACCTTCATCCGGTCGCTGGTAGAGACCAAGTCTCCCAGCATAACCGAGGTGATCGGGAGCAAGCTGGATCTGCTCACGCGTGCGATCCTCTCTGGCACGAAACTTGCACGTGAAGCCATGACAGACCTACTGAAATTCACGTTTAATCTGTTGCTACACTATCCCAAGGTACGCGTCCAGCCATGCCAGTCCCAGCGTTCCCGTCCGCTGACCCGACCGCAGCTTGTCGACGATTCTAATGCTAATGAAACCAAAGTAATGGGCGACTCTTGGAGTGAACGCTTGGATGGGTGCGTGTGTCCGTCCCTTGAAGTAGCCCGTACCGACCTGATTTTTCGCACAGGATCCTCCCCCCTCTTCTGCGCACCTTCAACGCTCTGCCGCCGTCCTTCCCTGCACCCCTCACCTCACCCATGACGCACGTCATCCATGCATTGATCACCATCCCAGTCTCGCCTTCGCTGCGGAGTGTTTGGCTCCCTCCTGCAAAGACGTCCCCTTCCTCCACCCCGAAGCCCATCAGCGCCCAAGAGTCCTCTTCTAGCAGCGCCAGCGCCACCAGTAGCAGCAAGATCTCGCGGTCCTCCAGCAGCAGCCGCTCCAACTCCCCGACGACCGGGCCATCAAAGGACCCCAAGCCAGGCGCGTTCGATCGCGCGTGGTCCGCCCTCTCTGCTGGCCGGCGGTCGCTCTCGCGCTCTTCGTCCCCGCACACGTCCAGCCCGAACGTCGACGTCCTGCTCAGGGCGTACGACCTCCTCGACGTGTCGCTCCACCATTACATGCCGGACGCGGTCGACCCCGACGACTCGAGCGTCCGCCAGAAGTGTGTGCGGGAGATGGACCAGCCGCTCGACGACGTGATGACGCCCCTCGTCGTGCTCATCACGAAGCTCTGCCTGGCGGACGAGGGCTCGCGCACGCGCATGCGCCAGTGGATCCTGCCGGACGACCTGGACAGGACGAGTCCGCTGGAGGGGAGGGCGGATCTCCTGGGCAGGCTGTTGAGGTCCCTGGCTAGCGTCCACCACGCGAAGCTGAAGAACGCGGTTGGAGAGATGCTGTATGCTATCTGCGACTCGGACGGTGCGTCGGCCAGGTTTTCTTCTATCAACTGTGGCTGCTAAACGAGAGACACCTCCCCAGGGAGCACCCTCGCCTCGTACGTCGGCTACGGCAACGTCGCCGGGTTCCTGTTCAACAAGGGCATCATGTCTGCGCCCCCGCCCCCTGCCGGGTCGACCGCGTCGGCTCCCACCACGACGGCGAACGGTACGCCGATCAACCCCATCACCGGCGTGGCGGAGAAGCCTGCGCCACCCATCGAGATGACGGACGAAGAGAAGGAGCGCGAGGCGGAGAAGCTGTTCGTGCTGTTCGACCGCCTGGAAAAGACGGGCGCGATCCCGAAGGAGTCGAATCCAATCCGTCAAGCCATCCAGCAGGGCAAGCTCGGCTGAGAGGCCCGCGTGTATGTTTCGCCTGGGTGGGGAGGTGAGAATGCCCAAGTAGGGTGAAGTATGGTGTGAGCGATGCTACTATTTATCAATATGCATACGGCTATTGTCCTTGATATGATTCACGGCCAGGTACGCCTCCGGACTGGCCTTATACCTTCGCAGCTGCCTTGTTATATTACCCCTTAGTCTCCGCCCTCGATTGTAAATACGACCCACTGTTCTGCACGCATTAGTACTGTGACTGCCTTTCGCATTTGCACTTGCATTAGTACCCGGCCCGCTCATTGCAGCATCTGATATCTACCGTCCCAACATCTCCATTTACACGCTCGACACGTGTACAATAATCGACTGGTATCGTCCACTATCCTTTATAATGACATGCCCTGCTTTTGCATCGTCTCTATCACTTCTGTTATACCGCTACTCTATAATATGGACCAGGCTTGTCCCGTGCTAAGACTCTGTACGTGACCTCAAACATAGTGAGACCATCCCAACCCGCCGAACCCCCACCTACAAACTTGCCTGCTCGGAAGACGTCGGCTCCGGATCGCCCTCCACCGCGACAAGTTTTTTGACAGGAACGAGCCACGCCTCCCCATCCTTGTCGTCCGCCTCGTCCACCGCGAACGTGTACTCGCGGACCTCGCAGTTTGCCCACGCCTCGTGTGTGTTGTAGCCCTTGATGATGTAGCGCAGGAGGTCGCCGTGGGCGACGACGACGATGCGCTGCTCGGGGCGCGAGCGCAACCAGCGGCGGACCCAGCGCGCACGCGCTGCGATTGCCTGCTCGGTCGCGGCGTAAAATCCGGCTTTGGAGGTCCAATCCGGGGTGAGGGTGGAGAAGTCAAGCCCTGCGAACTCGGGGTCTGCTTCGAGGGCCTCGCGTGCCTTGAGGAGCGCGTGAGTGGGTGCGTGGCGGGCATGAGAGAGGGTCAGGACCGACGGACGGATAGATGGAGGGGAGGCGGGAGGAAGGGATGGACGGGGAAAGGACGTACCGAGCCGGTATCGCACGGCAGGTTGTTGACTTCCTGCAGCTGTGGGAGGACAATGACAGGCTTCCCTTCTGCCTCCAAGCGTTTGCGGAGTATGGGGTAGCCGATGAGGGTCGTGGAGAGTGTGCGGCGGAGAGCGCTGGTAACGAGGAGATCGGCAGAAGCCTGGATGGCGTCCTTGGTCGACTGATTCAGGGCCGCGGCCTGCTGCCTGCCGTTGGACGTGAGTGGGGCGTCGTGGACTGTGTGAGCGTGTAAGAGCTTGGGTGAGTTTCATGGGCAATCTGTGGAACTCACTTGTCCAGTCCTCGGTGACACTAGACACGGCGTGTCAGACAGACGCAACAAAGTGTATATAGGACTAACTTGTGCTCAGCTTCTGCGTGTCTAGTGAGGTATATACGTTTCTGGGTCGCGGGGCTCATTTCTGTGTCTATTCAATGCAGAGGGCGGAAGGGATGGTGGTAGAGGAGAGATGACTAGGACTCGCAGGCGTTTGCCCATCGATCGCCGCGACGGCTCACCTGTCCGAATGACGTCAGCGTCTACTCAACGCTCACCACAACGGAACCCCGGAACACTCACCATTGCGTCGGAACCTCATACCCATAGGCCGGACGCCAATCGCGACCCCCAGAACCTCACAGCGACGCCAGTGCCAATCGGTCCTACGAGCGTGCACAGCAGAATGGCCCAGATGCAGACCAGAAACGCCTCGTCACCCAACAGGCCCGGTGTCTCACCCGAGCCGTTCCCTCGAGCGAGTTGGGCGATCAACAGTCCGATCTCCCCACGCGACACCATTGCGATACCCATGAAGGTCGCGGCTGGGATCGACGCAGCGGCTTGTCCTAGGCTAGTTTCGTCAAGGTTCTCGAGGAGACTACCATGCCTCAGGCTGTCAATTTTTTCGTCCTCTTGGATTGCAGACTTTGGGCACGTGTGAGGCAGAGTGGGTGTTCTACCCATAGGTTGTCGGCCACTCCGGCTTATCCGAGTTGCCATAGACTGTAGTGATCGAGAGCCGCCACTGCGTGTCTTATGCGTCAATTCTTGCAGCTTATAAGCTGTCGTCCGGATCAGCGAGAGCGTCACGGGATAGACCAATATCGGCAGGCCAACGGCTAGTTTTGCGAGACACATCAGCACCGAGTACAAGATCCCGCGCCAGATCACAGTGGGGTGCCACAGATCTAGAAATGGCTGAAGGTCAAGTCATGAGTACCAGCTGCAACCTCGTTGCATACGTTTCACTCACGATTGCAAAACCTATGCTAGCAAAGAAAAGGGGAAGAAAAAGATGGCCCTGCAAAGGGCCCACTGTCCGTGCGAACGTCTTATCACATGAGAGCTCTCTTGTTGTCTCGCTTGACCTTTGTCCGGTAGGCGGTTGACAGATGTAGGTCAGGATAAGACCGGCAAGATACGCGCCGTACAGAACGCTTGTGTCGGTGTCTGTGGAATACAAGACCAGATTCCACGAGCTGCTCGCATAGCTACGAATATACTGACAGTTAGCAATTGCAGCCATCCCGCTCACGACAGCGACCATGGCCAATAACTTCACAGCGTCGGCATGGGCGGTCGTGCCCCAACCACTACCTTCCCTAGCGAAAGCACAAGCACCCCAGGCTTTTCCTTCGCGTGCAGGCGCGCACCACCTTTCTCCTGTACCGCAATGCCAGAAGGCGGGCCGAAGAATAAATCTGGCAATAACAGAAGCACCGACTGCTATCAAGAACGATGAGAGCAACGGCCTCACAACCGTCCACGCGAGGTGCCCATGGGAAGTACCATGTGAATCGGAGTCTACGGAGGCCAAAGCTAGTATGAGGGAGGCTATGACAAGGCCGATAACGTCGTCGATGATGGCTGCACTGATGAGTACAGTACCAATGCGGGTTTGCTGGAGAGGGAGTTGGTGGGGTGACGAAGGTATGGAAGATGCAATATCTGGTGTCGTGCGGGTGGCAATGGTATCAGCACTGTCAGCCAGAGTCGATGCAGGTGGAATAGATGTACGAGTTGGTTGCTTCTCGGCGGGGGTTGCGCCTCTATTCCTTGTGATGCTGTTGAGCGCAGCCAGCGCGGTGCCAAGGCTAGTCGACGATAGAGCAGCACCGGCTGCAAAGGCTTCAAGCGGCTTGTAACCGAACCCGGCGTTCAGCAGCGCAAAAGAGAACCCAATCGGGATGGAGATTCCTGTCAGTGCGCAAACGATCGATAGCGGAAGATTCGAAAGGAGAACGGGGAGGTTGGTCGAAAGTCCGCCTAGGTGCGGTACTTATGAGAATGATCGTCAGGGAGAGGGGAGGACGGATGCGTGCCTTCGAAGACCACTAAAACCAAGCCCAAATATCCAAGAGCAGTGAATGTTGCCTCCCACTCGATGGGCAACAGGTTGGCAACTGGAAAGCCGTAGATAATGCTAAAGGTTATCTCCGCGATTATACCGGCATGTAGGAGATAATCCGCCACGACGCGAATGACATTGAGGAGGTATAGTAACGATGCAATGACAAGCAGGTCGACGAGCTGGGGCTCTTCGTAAGGGAGAGCGGCACGTGGCATGGGTGCAAGTTACGGCTTGGCCGCCGGGGGGGTTTCGGGGAACTCTGAAGAGTGAGGTTCCAGCTGAGGTTCTTACTTCTCCCTCATAAGGGACGGGATGCCCAATGTCGTTTCAGAAAGCAACCGGATGCGACATGATGGTCCTGCAGGCTGCAGGTACGGGCGTTACTACTTCCTCAAATTGACTGGCGTAGCCTGTGCTCGCACGTGACACAGGCGTCCCCTTTGGCCGTTCGACCGTGGACGAACATAGGGCCGCACCGTGATGGTCCAAGTTCGATCTAGTACCGCTGCTGCTTCTAGACCCTCTACTTCCGAGTGCTTTCGCGAGCTTTAGGAGTTTGGGCAGTCAAGATGCAAGGCATCGACTAGGATGCCTCCTTGTCCCACCCTGTCGTAAGCGAGCTCAGCTCGAGGCTACTATCAATGCCTACGGCAAGATCAACAATGTCGATTCCATGGCCACTAGAAAAGCCACACCACTGACAGCATTCTTTTCCAATCTACTATTATTCGTGGTCTATAGAGTATATTCGAGTGCTGCCCCACAGAGGTGCGTGTGTTTTCCAGCCAGGGGAAGAGACGCCAGCTCATGTGCCCGCCCGACCCCCAGCATATGGCCACGCCAAACAGCGGACGCAGTCTAGCCAGGCAGCGTGCTGCTCGGGGTTCATCGTAGCTATTAGATAACCGCGACGGTGCCTATCTGCAGCCCCCGGTTTTCCTTCTAGGATGCGCGGCAAGTGGAATCATCGACTGATCGTTGACGACGAGAGCCGCAAGGCGACTGTTGAACGTATTCTGTCCGTCGCCGGAATGGAGGTTATGACGAACTTTGACCAGCCCTGCGTCACCATGGCGCTGAGAACGGGTAAAATGACGATCGATACGCTGCCCAGGAATATTTGAAGAGGCAGACTGCGGTGGGATGAGGTCGTCTACATTAACAAATAGAGGTAAATACTGGGAATTGCGGAACTCGAGAACCCCAGTTAGCTGGTCAGATTTGCTGATCTGTCTGCTCAATCGAAGCTGACATGGATAAGTAAGGTGAGTCCAGCATAGAAACACCCACTCTGCTGTAGTATCTCACCCTCCCTAGAGAAGACACAGTCCAGTGGGGCACCGTACAGGCTTGCTCAGCGCTCAGCATCAGTGAGTGCATCGATTATCACAGTGCGACCTTCTGTTTCTTTGGCGGTCTCACAGCGCCGTGGTCTTCTGAGGCGAGAAGAACGAGCTGGGATTGAATTACTGACTCTTCGGGCAGGAGATGTACGCGCGATCAGCTGGAGTCAGTGTCAACCTCCATGGTTCGCCCGAAAGGGAGAGTGCTATGTTCTCGGATGCGAACAATAGGCCGTGCCAGCCTCGAGGTTGGCACAAATCAAACAATCCAGCGGAGTCCGCCGCAGAGCGCCCGACACGGTATAAAGAGCTGCCATTTCGTCCTTTCCCTCCTTCCTCACGGCCACCACGTCTCTTCTCACAACCACCAATATCCCCCGTCGCCACCATAGTTCGACTACATGTCGGGTGCCTTATCTCTCAGGCCTCGCTGCCTGCCGACGGTTATTAGCATGGGTCCCGACGACCATGGGTATCCATCTCGCTTACCTAGCCGTTACATCCTTGCTCATCGCCATCTACCACCCACAGCGTCGGAGACCCAGGTGCGCTCGATGGCAATCGTGAGTTCCTCACCGCCCTCTTTGTTCAATGCCACATCTTGACTGTGGCGGTGGTTAGGTTCGACGCGCGCCTTCCGGGCAACAGCGGCCATCTAGCCTGTTCACCCTGGTCACCCATCTCTTCACCGGGGTGTGGATGCCAATATGGGTCGAGCGGGCGATTGCGCCCAGGCGTCGGTGCTCCGCTGCTGCAACGTCTTTTCTGACAATGCGCGTAAGCCGGGGCGCACCCGGGTCGAGTACCTCACCGTCTTCACGGCGGTGGTAGGGAAAGGACGGACGCCATAACCTGCAACGTGACTCGTAAAGCGTCGCGGGTAGACGACGTACGCGCTACTGCCGACTGTCCTGAAGTCGCGCAACGGCGTCGCGTCGTCAACGGACTGCTGCCTCGAGATGGTATGTCGTCCTCTTCGTTCTGCGTCTACTAGTATGCTCACTTTTCTCTGGTATCCCCCAACCTCTCCCCCATACGCGACGCGACACCAGGCAACGGTCAAGGTAGGGAGTGTGCGGCGGTAAGTGGACTAGAAGCAACCACCTTTTGGTGCGTCCGCGGCACCCGCACCCGCATTGCGGGGCACTTCCATAGGTCATCGACTGTTGTGATCTGCAGTTGGAGCTGGGGCTTTGCGAATCGAGGGGCATTTCGCGCAGGTGAGTCCCTCTTCTAACCTTATCAGGCTGACGTTCTATACAGGCCTACACAGGCAGACGTTTCACGACACTTGGCCTGACCCTCACTCACGCTGTCCCCGCAGTTCGAAGTGAGTCTCTCCGTCTTCGCCTCTTCCCGTCACGATGCCGACCCGATCTGGAAGATGCGGGCGTCGAGGCTTGAGCTCGGATTGCCCCACCCTATGCCCGGTTGACCGCCCCGTCTGTGGATGGGGGTCCTACGCACGGCGTGGCTTGCATACGGGCTCACTTCAAGACCTCTCCGTATCCTCGGATCCGTCCGGGGATGGACGACAGCTGACAAAACTGGAAGTGGCTTCGAGGGTGCAACTTGCCCTCGATTCAAGACGCCGCCCCGAGGTACGGTCGTCCATTGCGTAGAAGCATGGACGTGCCTGGTGCAGGCCTCTTCGTGGCCCTCGGGACTAGTACCGCAAATGCGGGAAGCTAACGTGCACCAAATTATGCGATGGTTGTCGTCGTCATTTGTCGGTGGATACAATGTCGTAGTCTCATGTGGTAACTAGAGGTACGGCTGAATGATCAAGTTCTTCTCCCGTCGTGACGGTCATGATGAACGATGCATGTGGCGCGCTGTGAGGGCATGAACATATATTCATGCCTGGGGATTGGACGACCATGGTCAAGCCTCATTCAATAGTGGATTGCGCGTCGAGACTCGACATCGAGTGCCAGCGCTCCCTCCGACAGCCTTTTTCATCTGCCATCACATGATCAACCCAGATTCGTGCAGCGACGCCGGACCGCCCTTGTATGTCTGTATCAGCCTTGTCTGTCCTCATCGTTGAACGTTACCTTCTGTTCGTCTAAGGCATGCACCCAACTCGAGCCTTACATTTGCCTGTAGCAGAAAACATACACTTACTACAACCACAAGTATGTGATGCAGCTCGAGTGCATTGCTATCGCTAATGATCCTGAATGCTCACAGCTGTGCGCTGCCGACCAAGCATCCCAGCTCAAGCTCTCTCCAGGACTGTCAAAAGACATGTTGTCTGCCGCAGAGTGTCCGCCCGCGTCAGCCCGTCAGTCTCGATCTCGATAAACGCGAGATACAAGTTCAGTACATCCCACAGTCATCCTCCTCCCCCTTCCTTCCCACCTCTAGCCCGACCGACCCTCAAGACAGGACGACCATCAAGACGACCCGCGCGCGCCGAAGACAATGGACCTCGGATCGCGGGCCCGTGTGCCCGTGAGGTATGCCCGACATACGTCGTGGCGTTGTTCGCGGGAGGGAGTCATGGACCTGACGATCGCGGGCACGACGCACGTACTAGGGCATTTCGTTTTGCTCCGTCTGCCTTTCGCGCTCGTGTTGCTGCTATCTTCTCTCCGCAGATCTCCCCGACGGACCACGCTACGACTCAGGCCGACCGACTCGACCTCAAGCTGCGAACCTCGAACCTCGAACCTCGACCCTCAAGACCGACAGTGCCGACAGGTTGGCGTTGGTGAGGCTGGGGGAGGGAGTTGATCGCCTCGGTGAACCTGGTCTCCCGCGTCGGGGGTGTTTGGCTGGACGTTGTTGTGTTTCGTGTTTCGGCTTGGTTTCTTGGACTGGACGGTTTCGGTGGTTTCGGTGGTTTCTGTTTCGTTCTCGGTTTTGGTTATGGTTTCGTTCTCGGTTTCGGGTTTGGTTTCGGTTTCGTTCACGGACTTGGACGCTCCGCGCTCGGACTTGGACTTGGACTCGGACATGGACTCGGACTCGGACATGGACACGGACTCGTTGCGATTGACTTTCACATTTTCATCTAGATCTCCAGGCCAGGGACGGGGTGCGACGGGGGAGGGTGCGGCGGTGGTACGGAGACTCGCCGGCTTTCATGCCTCGTCAATCCTTCTTCAATCCGTCGTACCTTCGAGGCTAACGGAGCACTTGTCGCAGGGTCGGGCGCGGTGTGCGGTACTGGGTCTAACCCTGATGCGTACGACCAACCTCTTCTCTCGGCTCGTTCTCCGGTACGGGCAGCCTCTGGTCGGGAGCGAGGGGGGCGGTCGAGGGTACGGGGAGTCGCCGCCTTTTAGGCCTTCTTCCAAACTCTTCCTCTCGGCTGGTGGTGGGGTGCGGGGTGATGGGCGGTGGGGTACGCCAACTCTAAGCCCTCGCCGTTCGTTGCTTCGTTGCTCCGTGCTCGGGAGCCACACGTCCGGTGCGTGTCGGCAAAGTCTGTGACCTCCCTTCGGGGCAGTTGCAGCATGCGCCCAGCGGTGGGCCCTCTGTGGATGGAGACATGGAGGCTAAAGATCCTCTCTTCGGAGAGCAAACAGTGTTCCTCTGGTAGGAGCACCGCCCTTTCGAGGGCATCCCTTCCTTGTGAGGGGAATTTCTCTTCCGTGGAGTTGCCTGCGTTCGATAGTCATCGAAGCGAGATCCTCGGCGGAAGAGAAGCATCCTGTCCTCTTGTTCATACATGGAACTATGTCGTGACGAGGGACGAGTTGCTCACGATCTGCGTGAAGAATTGGAGAGCGGCCTCGCCGGTCGGGAGCGAGCCGTACGTGTACTCAGGAACTTCATGGCGCTGGCCACTACGACGCCCTTGTCGGCACCCTATGCACCTTTCGAATAGAACATAAGATTCGTACGCTCCGAAGATGCAGACGTAGGAGAACGTCCCCGCGTTCTTGTAGAAACCGGTGATGGTGTAGTTTGCGAACTCCTGCTTGGCGTACTCGCAGCTGAACTTGGTCTGGAGGTTTTGGACCAGTTGCCGGCGAGAGGAGAGAGGATGTCGTTTTTGCAGTAACTGTGCGTGTCGGAGCAAGTGGACTGACTGGTCGTCGGTGTTCTAACATTCAGTGATCTGGTCCTTGTATTTACCAGACTTGGTCCAGGACTTGTTCGCGCGAGACGAGGAGACATAGTCAACAGCGTGCCGTTACGCTTTTCACAACATACCCTCTTGGAACCACTGAGCATGTCGGCACATGCGCCCCACCAAAAAGGTTCGTCACATGAAAACCAAGAATCGAGGGCCAAGGGGGGTTACGGGAATAACTGAAAGCTCGACTCAGAACAGTATTCATTACTTTACTATACGGTAAGACAGCAGCGCGAAGAGGCGAATCGAAGGGTAGGCGTGAGCGGCCGATTCAGTATTGGAGCGATCGAAGACATGGCCATCGCCCGGACAGCCCGTTTAGAAGCTAGGTCGGCAAGATCCTACTCATGCTGAGCCGCGAGAATGGCCCATAAAATGGGGATTTCTGTCCGCAAATGAGTGCGCAACGTCAAAAGGAGGGCGCCCGAGGAGAAGCTGTTCGATTCTGTCCATCTTCTTCGACAGGTCTGCCACCTGGGAAGCGAGGGAGGCTTGCTCGGAGACGACCTGGGACATCTGGTGGACGAGCTCATCCTGTGTGGAGACGACGTCGCCCATGCGAGCGACGAGATCGCTGAGTTGCTGTAGTATGGAGCAATGTGAGCGCGGAAACGTCAGAGCCTCCATGGGCGAAGACGAAACTAACGGAGTGCGGAGAATGGCGAGAGGCGGCCCGGATCATGTTGGAATACCGAGCCGCGTTCGTAGACCTTGTGCCGAAGAGCAGGGTGCAGAGCGTCTCCATTGCCATCTTACGCTTCGGAGCCTATGCGTATGTGTATGAGTCGCCGCGAGGATGATCATGTATCCTCGCTACAAACCTCTCTCTCGATGTTCCTAAACAACCCGTCTGCATAGCGAGCTAGCTGTAGGTTGACGTCTCGGCCTTGCGACCGCCATCCTCGCATCAGCTCGTGGATGCGATCCTCGAAGGCGAGGTAAGACACCATGCAAGACTCCGCGACGTCTTCGACGTTGTGAATGTTGCCATGCTCGGTAATTTCCTTGAGCATGTGCTCGACAAAGAGGTAGAGAATGCACATGATGTGCTGTGCGGACACCATGAGCACACGTTGAATAACACGGGGCCAAAGCTTTGGTCGTACCAGCTCAATCCGATGGTCACCCATGGCTGCCGTAACCGCCGCTTTATCGTCGAGGTGGTACTGCAGCTTTTCGAGGTTGGGCTGGATCCATTTCAGTTCACTGCTCCTGTAGTCTTCCTGGAGCCGAAGTAGATGGTGTACAGCATCTTTCCTTTCGTCCTGAAGCTCTTCGTCACCGTCCACGTCCTCGATGAAGAGCAGCGGTTTCAGTGACGCAACGATGGTCTGTAGATGATTCCATCCAGGTTCACTGGATTTGACCTTCTGGACCTCGGCATCGATCTGTTTGAGCATGTTCTTGATACGAGAGTAATACCTTGGAAGGTTTAGCATAGGGTAGAAGCGGAAGCAAGACACAACATGTACCATGCGTTGTTGTTATACCATCCCGAGGCACAACTTCTCGTGAATGTGAGTCATGCGAAACTAGACTGCGGACAAGGGGAAGCGGACGTACAAGGCCAACCACTGCGGGGTGGTCCACTGCGGTGGTCTCCGGCCCTTCGTGCTGCAGAACGTGTTCACCTCCGTTGCGGTTACAAAGCCGCTCCCGTCTTCGTCAACTAGGTCGCTAATAGCTGAATGGTCTTCATGCCAATAAAGGTCAGATGAAATAAGAATAGCTTGCAAAGGAGAAAAATCAACAGCGCATCAGGTCAAAACTTACACATCATGCGAGCAAAGAAGTCGACAGTCCAAGCATCTTGCAGATTTTCTATTGAATCGGACTTCTTGCATATCTTGTATTGGTAGTATTCACGTAAACCTGACGGATACGTTCATGTGAATGGTCTGCGAGCAAGAATAGAAGGTAGAGCTACCCTCAATAAAGACGCGGCATTTCACGCTTGACTTCCATCCCTGGTTGGGAGCAGGAGACAATGTCATTGCTCAACATCCACGGGCTTGGTTTGAAAGCTTACATTGCCTGTCAAATTGGATTAAGGTACTTGGAAGATTGATAATGGTTGTTGGGTACTCACTCCTCCAGATCTCTTTGATGTCGGCATCGTCAATCAGCTCGTGTGGGCCTTCCTTGATCTGCGACGGGCTTTGTTTGAGCTCATGAGTTACTGGAGGTCGAGTCTAAAATGACAAACCTGTCTTGAAAGTTCAGAACTCGAGGTCTTGATCGCATGTATCATGTTGCCCTCTACAGCCTGCAGCTTCATCTCGTACCGCTCGCTGTCCACGTGTTTCAGTACAGGAATATCATGTAGTGTCTACGGGGAGGATACTGACGCGTGTTCCTTCAATAGGTCTTCATAATTATGGCGCAAGGACGTCTTCACCCTGTGACTGACGTTCTCTCCAAGCAGTTCTCCAACGTGGTCGAGGAGGTGATCGTCCTTGGAATGTTGGTCAATTAAATCTGTAATCCAAGGTCGTAGTAATTAGACACACACCTGTATTACGTGCTCGAAACCTCCGTTGACTGTAACATACGTCTCAACAGCGGCTATCGTCTCTGCATCTTCACCGAGTAGATCTTGTAAACTCTCTTTGATGTCGCGAGTGTTCTTTATCACGGTCTCTAACTGTTCCTGGGCGGCATTGAGCTTGCGTTGTGTCATGACAGTAGCTCGGGTCATGCAGATGTCGTGAAGCTGTGATCTGTACTTTTCGAAGTTTCCGCTGAACTGGTCGAGTTGCTTGTTGTGCAACTGAGCCATGAGAAACTTGACTAGATGTTGGAGCAGTCAACGACAGACGAAATCTATGCGCTGGGCTACTTACATATCTTCTGACGGTTTCTATTGTATAAGCTGAACGGAATGTGAGCGCTTTAACGCTTCGGCCTAAGGTAGTACTCACTCAACGAACGCTCCTAAGTGACAGCGGTGCATTCAGCGGTCTAGATGACACTAGGATATATGAGGAGAGCGCGCACCGAATTCCTTGATGGTGACAGCCATGGCTTGGAGGACAGAGTTCATGGTGTGGCTGAGCACGTCCCGCTCTCTCATGAGGGGTGCGAGTACTCTCATATGGAACGCTGCGTTGATCTACCGGACAGTGAATATCAGACAAACTCGCTGGTAAGTCCCTTGCTTACCATCGAGGCATGGATTCTTGCGATCAAGACCGTGTTCTCCTGCCTCGCCTTCTCGAATTCTACGACCGTCTGATGACAGGAGTGATTATTTGTAGGAAGAGAATATTCAAGGACCAACTCACGCGGATCGAAGACACCACCAGCTAGTTCAAATTCATGATTAGCAATTGTTTTGGGGAAGGGAAAAAGCCATTGTGTCACCTTAGCCATGGGATGCGTGTCCGTGACAAACTCAAGGTAAACCAAAACTTTGTCAATTCCGGTGACTACCTTCCTAGCGATTGCATTGGCTTCTTTGAGAGGAATTCCGTCGTCTAGACGGTCTATCAGCCTTCTGATAAAGAGGAAAGTAGAGACAAGTATGCACCACTCATCTGCTGGAGGTGTTCAGTCATGGCATGGAGAGCAACCTCAGCGTCGTTCTCCAGTTGTTCTAGGTGGATGTCAGCAAGCGAATACCCACAGCACGGCGGGACACGACATACGTATGACTTGATCAGATAACTCCACGACATGGCTCGTTGTACAGGTGATCAGTTCATGGAACCCATGAACTTTGTCGTGCAGCTTGTCCTTGAGATGATGCAACATGTCGCAAGAGTCGGAGTGAGTTGAGACGCGATTGAAACACCATGTCTTCCCGGGTGCCTTTATACGAGACCGTTGGACGTAGGCTCAATGTCAGGAAGGATGAACTAAAGCGGGACGCAGATAGAGCTTGCTTGCTCCATCGACCCTGATCAGCAATACGAATCGTAAACCGACCGAGGTGCTCCACCGCAGACACCCACGGTGCTGCTGCAGCGCGTTCGATCACCTATCCCATCGCAATGAAGCCCAAGAACCAGAACGCTAAGGGCGATACGCGGCGCAGTAAGTCGGCACGCGGCGAGGGCGTGTTTTCGTCATGTCGCGGCTTGTGGGACAGCTTAGCGAATTTGGCAGTAGATGTTAACCTATAACAGCAGATCAGCGCATCTTCGGTGGACTGAATGCTACCACCATCTGATCGGTAGCGCCAGCTCGAAATCATCCTTACCCTCAGTCTAGCTTGACCACACCGCATCGATAGCCAGACTCGTTATTCTCGCACCACGATACCGAGCTAGATGTAGAAGATATACCTCCCGGAGTCTCCTCGTCAACAAGTGACCAACAGACAGCACTAGAGTACATGAGGATACTTGCCGGTGGACAAAACAATGAGGACCCCTGGCCCCCACCTGCACCTCCAGCTTCGATAATGCCCTGGTGGCGACGGGTGGGAGTAGCGATCCCGCGTCTGCAGTACTGTTGGTGGATTGTACCTGACTGTACCGGCAATCCACCACATGTAGAAGGGTCCTTGCCAGTCTTCATTAGACGTAGGCTACCTTCATTCTTCGGGTTCAAGAGGTCTGCATTGTGATTAGATTCGTAGTATGTCACTCGCGACAGCGTCTTGCGCTTGTACAATCATTCAATAGAACACAAGAAGGGCACTGATACCTCGACATGTGTGATACAGTAACCTACAATGAGCATAAATGATATATGAGAGCGACGTTAACGACGTACGATCCAACGTAATCACGGATGGCCAACGCGCATACAATGCACCTCGAGCTTGCTGTGGTCCAAAAGCACGAGGATTTCCACCGTGAAGGAACGCATGCATGATGACATGTCCGTCGGAGGCACAGGAAGCCGAAATTCGCAGCAGCATGCGTAGTGGGAAAGCATGCTAATGTATTGAATAAGTCGCATCGTCCGAGTCCACCTTCGACAGGGATGGTGGTCAAGGGGTCGAATAAACTGACGCGGGCGGGGACCATGGTGGCCTTACAGAGTAGGAGCATGTTCCGGCACGACCTGCACGATGCCTTCGCGACAAAGGTGCAATAAGCAACGAGTATGATATAGCGAAACCGTACACAAATGTCCACCACGCCGGATCACTGGTTCTTCTTCTCCTCCGCACTGAAGCCCTTCGGAATCTCGTTCGTCAAGGGAGATTGAATGCTCGAAAGCGCAGAAACACCAAGGAATATCACGGGAACAAGGATGAAGAGGGAGACGAGAAGCACGAGGATCAGGCCAGGAGTCAGAAGCTGGTAGCGTTTCAAGATTCCACCCGAAGGACTGGCTACGACCTCCGCATCGAAGGTAGACGAGCTCGAAGACTGACGGACGCCAAGGGACGAACCCGGGGCCCCGGCGTAAATGACCAGATAGTCGGAGAAGATGTTCTCGATCTTGGAGAGCTCGCCGGACAGCCACGATTCTGTATGACTTTGTTGAGGAATGCTTCAATTTGGGGGTCCGGGGCACTCACCATGGTTAGCCATGCTGCTCTTCCTCGAGGCTCCAATCTCCCCATCTTCCAATGCGGGAAGCGAAATGGAAACAACGTGTTTTCCCTTCCCCGCGTCGATATCAAACTCTCCGAGATCCGGTGCATGGCTCACCGCACGAGAACCGCAACGCTCGGATAGAATGCTGGATAGGTCGAGGAACGGATTCGCGTTCCGCTCTTCGCTCTCGACATAGGCGAATTGAAGGGAGGATGGGGCGCTCGACAATGCCCTTGCCACATGGCAAGAGGAAGAAAGTGTACGCAAGTCGGAAGCATGCAGCTACGCGACACGGCAAGTCAGGTTCCTAGCATGCCGTTAGAGAATTCAATCAGCTGTGCTCACCCCCTGGTGGTTTACTACAATGACCGCGTCATGGTCGCAAATGTCGTTGTTGGTATACAGAGCACTAGCAATAGCGTGCGAGTTCTTGGCTGCCTCCGAGACTGCTGATGAAGTTAGGGCTCGGGAACTGCGGGCGGGTCAATAACGATGAACGCTGCCGGTGCTTCAAGCGACGCACTTGCGAGATGACCATGCCAGCACCGGATGTGTACGAGAGTAAGCCGACGCAGCTGCGGGAAGCAGAGCAAAGAGAAGCGTGAGGGCGCGACCGGCCATGGTGGTGGGTGGGTAGCCAGTCGCCGCCGAAGCCATCGACGTCGTACCCCAGTGTAGCGCCCGTACCGGATGCTGCCGAACCGCCCAGCTCGCGGCGCGTTGACCGGGTACATCTTTATTCTCGCCTCCACACGCTCTGGTCCTACAACAGCCATGTCAAGCCAGGACAGACCATCAGCATCCATTCCGAGCCAGCCACGAGCCAAACAGCTTCGTGCTTGTCTGCTCTGCTCAATCATTCAGACTCCTGCCGATTTTCGCAAGCATGGCTGTCCAAACTGTGAGGAACTCATGCAGGTACGTTCTCTGGACGTTGCCCGCGTACCATGCGTTGACGTAGCTTGCCCTTTCTAGATGAAGGGATACCCTGACCGCATACAAGCATGCACGACGACCCACTTTGAAGGTGTGATCGCTGTCATTGACCCCGACAATAGCTGGGTGGCCCGGTGGCAGAGAACATGTACGTGTGTCCGCTGCGTCCAGGATACGGCAGATTACTGACGTTGTCGCAGCCAAGTACGTGAGAGGAATGTATGCTGTGCGCGTGAAGGGACGCGTACCAGAGGACGTGGAAGCAGAATTAGAGAGCCGTAACATCCGTTACCGTCCCAGAGACGGAACAGACCAGGACTAGAGGTGACGTTCTCCATGCGCTTTCCCTCGACGCCTCTCATCCGTGCTATCATTTGCTCTCTTGTAATCATACGTTTCATCGCACTTGTAATACTAGGACATCCGTCGCACGGTCCCTGTTTGTTGGCCGGCTCGTGGGGTGCGAGGTACAAAGGGATCCCGAACCAGCGCCGAGGTACACTGAGTAGTCTTTGCTCTCAACCACAAATGGAGACCCAAACGTTACGGCGCACAGGGTTTCAGCCATCCGCTGAAACCCTACTTATGGTCCACAACATCTGCGCATCCATCCTCCCACGGTCCCTCGTTGGAGTTCGAGCTGGGGACCCCTTTGACATAAGTTCTCTCCTGTGCTTTAGTTCTGCCTTACTTATACTGCCCACTATGGCGCCCATCAGACAATCGCCTTTTCGTTCGTGTTTCTGTGGGTGGCACTCCTTCCTATGTGTCCACAGGGCCTTTGTTGCGTCTGACACCGGCGGAAAGAGTGGCGGTATCATGCATAAGATCGATTGACCAGAGCTATGGCTATCAACATAGCGTCTAGTAAACCGTGCCCAGACGTGCTTAGTACTACATCGGCAACCCACTACTATTCGAGTAGGTTGCTGACAAGAGGTATCTGAAGTATGGTGTTGGCGTCTATCTGCCGGTGGCATGGTTGAGGACGATTTTTCACCATCGATAGGACCAAGTTGAGCATGTCGTCGGTCGATCGCATGTCCATGTTGGAAGTCAAAGAGCTGCCATGCTAGCAACCGAACTCAATTCGCCGACAACTCTGACTGAGGCTACAACTTCGCTCTTACTACAGCCCTCGGAATTCGTCCTCTACGGTCTTCCACTTCCACAAGCTCTGGCCAGGGTTCACGAACTCATTGTCGTTGACGGTAAAGTCCATGTTTCCCTCCCCAGTGAGGATGCTGAAGCATATCAGTCCCGCAAGATTTGAGCTGACAGGAAATAAGGGGAAATGGAGAGACTCACACCACATAGTCGAGAATGTTGCTGGTCGGGTCCTGGCTCAGAGCATCCTTGGCAGCTGCAATGTCCTTGCAGATGATCTCCCCCCTCGGAATCCCCTCGACACGAGATACGATGTCGCGAAGGTTTTCGTAGTTCACGACGTTGCCAGCGATGCGGATGTCGGTGGGAACCGTCGACGCAGTCGCGGGGTCAAGCGCAAGGACGGAGATCTGCGCTACAGCGCGCCCAATGTCGGACTGGTGCGTCAGAGTGTTCTTGACGGTGCTCGGGCCTACGATGTTGTAGACGTTCTCGGCGGGGTCCCAGTTGAACACGCGCCCGGGGCCAATCCACCAAGTCAGGAAGCCTCCGGTGTTGAGGTTGATGATCTTGACCTTGCCTTCCAAGATAGCACGGGTCTCGAGGGCAAGAGCGCGCTTCTTGGCCCACTCTTCGTGCTCGTACCCGGGGAACAGATTGTCGTGAATGTAGTCGCTTGAAGGTGGAACCATTAGCTTTATGTGGTTTATCGCGGAGACAAGCATACAACTTACTACCCGGCATACTCGCTTGGGAAGTAGACCTTTACGTTGTTTCTGACGAGGGCATGGAGCAACTCGGCTTTGAACTCGGGAGCGACCGAAGTAGGCAGGACGTTCACGGCGAGATCGACGCCGGCGAGGATAGCGTGCAAAGAGTCGTTGAACGAGTAAAGCTCCCCGCCGAGTTTGGCCAGCTCCTGAGCTTTGGCAGAAGCGGGGTCGCGAGTAGTGATGCAAATGGTTGGGAAAGCCCACCGATACTCCGTCAGGAATATCTTGCTGATATGAATGCCTGGATTGCCCACGGATAAGTTGAAAGCTCGTAGTACTGTGGGCTGTGGGAGAGGGTTGAACTAACTCACCGAGGTCTCCTGTTCCACCGAATATAGCGACGGTGGCCTTTACATTAACATTCGTGGTGGGCATTGCGTGCTTATGAGATGAGGGGAAGGCTGCTTTGGCAAGGTTGGTGTGTCTCTCCTGCTATCGATTGCCCAAGTTGTGTCTGGTTATATACCTACCGGGGAGGGGCGGGGTGCAGAGACGTTCACTGGCTCAGTCTTGCTTTGCCACTAACCACTCAGATTGCTGTTGCATATTTTGCAGCCGCTCACGTCAGTACCTTAGGTCGACGCAGGTGCAGGGGCCCACATCCCACACCAAGTCCGGGCGTCTACGATCGTCCACTATTCTGGGGATCAGAGTAGAAGACAAGAGCAGCGGCATTTGCTGACTCACTTTCGAAGTCAACGAATTGTATAGAACGTACTTGAACCTCCAAGCCAAAGAGGTCATACTCGCCTCAGCCGAAGCAACCTCTTGGACTCTACTGTTCCGAATACTTAGTATCACAAAGGCTTGCTGGGAGCCGATAGATTAGATCAAGCAGCCGGCCGTCCTTGGAGCAAGTCGGTCGCAGTAATTTTACTTGTACAAAGCGAAGCTGCAATGAGTTGAGGCAGAAGAGCCTTAAAGATTGCTCTTCGACCTCAGTGGTAAACATGCTCTGCCACCCTCGGGCCTCTGCCACATCTTCCTCCGAACTATTGGAGCGCTGGAACATGATTGGTTCGCAGTGGAGTGTGGATATCTTGGGTTGCCGAATCAGGCAACACCGCGCCTTCTTCCCGAGAGTAGACCGGACAAAATGTAGAGGCCTAGTGCTTGTGAGTGCTCGAGTACATACAGACGACAAAACAGCACCTACCTCTAAGATGAACACACCGGAGAACAGATGTTCGGACCCATGGGTTGTGCGGAGTACACGTCCACTTACTAAGCAGCGCAGCGTTGTCTCTCGATGGGGACCAGCTGACGCTGTAAACAAGCGGCCATTCCGCCAGGACAACTTACTCTGCTAGCAGTTAAAGCTGCCCTCCTTCAGGAGGGAGATTTTAGCGACTGTCAGCTCGTCGAACGCCATCCTTCTCCTGTGCCCGTGCGGGCTACATAGTGGTAACCTTCTCAGTTCCGGACGCCTACTGACCTGCCATAGCCTGGCTGCGCAGATTAGGGATCGATGCATCTCATCAGACAGGCTGAAGTCAAAAGACTCGAGTAAAACACTTCATTAAGTTGGTTGACATACCCTAAATGTACTCACGAATCTTACTCTACTGACTCTGGCCGCGTTATCACTACGTAGGGTCAGTCGTGCCATCGCAAGATCCAGATGTCCCTTGGCCAGGCACGGACCTGTCCTCGGCGGGTTCCGCTACCTGCTCGAAGTACCATGACGGCAAGAACCCGACTCGGTCCTCACCGCCCTGCACCTCCTTGACACCCTCCTCATCCAAGGGATATACACTGACGCCAAGCCCAGGCGTCAGGGTGACTCGCCACACACGTGATGAATACGTAGGGGAGGGCCCTGTCTGGGCAGAAGACGCTTGTTCCGATAACCGTGCCTTGAGTGAAGCGAGGAACTCTTGTCCCCAACGGAGACATATCTGCGGATCCCATGCGTGAGGCTTGCCGCGCACGAGACGCGGCATCTGAATGGTTTTGAATGACTGCGTGGTCGTTATGCGACCTGCTGGCGTTCGAAAGCCCACGACGATCTCCTTTGAAGGGTTCGAGTCAGACGATGGTTAGGATGCATGAGTGCAACGCACGGGAACACCGAGCAGGAAGGATTGCACGTAAAACTTCAGTAGTTTCCTGCCAGTACATTAGTTGGCAGGCGTCCCTTATAAAGCCATGGTGTCGAACATACTTCTCGAAGCGGGCCTCATCCTGTGCATTCCGTATAGACATGGAGGTCTTCAGCTCAACGAAGTTATCAGGCTGGCCGTTGAAGTGCTCTGGTCTCTCAAAGTGAACTCGCTGAGCGGAATGGCGCCAGAGGTAAGGAATGCCTGACCTCGTACGCAGTCAACTTCGCCGCCGATGACCAGACGACTGTCGCCCAACTTGGTCTTGACGACGCTACACCACTGGACGTTGGTGTCAACATCCCCGCCCCAGCCTGTGGGATGACCGTGTATTCGCTCGGGGACCCCAGGGCGGGAAGACGTGCACCAAGACTCGAACGCGTACCCGTAGTACGTCTGCTGGCGTTGTCTTGTTGGAAGGTCCTCTCTACAAGGCATATCTTAATACTCTGCCTCCCGCAAAGGAAATGTATGTACTTTTCAGCAAGCCTGGCGTCTGTCAAGTGCTCCTCAAGGTAGAGAGTTCCGTCGACAAGCATAGCGTTGAGCACGCAGGAGTCTCGTTCTTCATACGGTGCCGTCAAAATTCTCATTCGCATAGTCTGTAAGGCCGCGGAAGACAGCGTATGAGGGCAACTCACTTGGTCATAACGCCTCTCCAAGTTACCAACGCTATATCCCGCAGCCATTTCTTCCCGCTCCCCGGGCCCATATTTGTGTCCGAATTTTGTAGGACGCGCTCGATCGCCTTCAGAAGGGTATCGAGTCTCGCCCTCTCTTCTGGTCGCTTGACCCATCGTTCATAGCCATATCGGAGGTCTGCGCCTGGTGGGGGGTCGATGTAGTACCGAAGAGCTGAGTCGCCGAATTCCATGATGCGTTGGGGAGTATATGAGAATGTCAAAAGACACGTGGGTTGTTGGAAAGGCACAGCGCGAGTAGATTGCTGCTGACTGCTTGTGGAGGGATACGAGAGTAGGACGGGTGCGTGGTCATTCGCCGAGGTCCCGGCGTCGGTCTCAAGCCGTTTCGCAGGCTTGCCTCTCAAGTCAGGAGAACCAGAGTGCCGTCGTTTGGACATTCTTGAATGAGTGGTGCAAACAAGACGAAGATGAGAGGTGGTTGATCTAACCCTCTGTCGGTGAGCGCTAGTACCCTTCGTAGTCTACTAGGCGTGTTCAATTCTTGTCGCTCGCTCATTTCCTCACGCGCTTAACGGGCGCCTGCCTACCTGGATTCAAGGTCAGATCAAGCGCCTGTAGCACAGCAAGCAGAGGGGGGCAGGCGGCGGGTGCAACATGACCACATGAGGGTCGCGAGCTGGGACTAAGGAGCGCCGCGAAAACTTGACGATTCGAAATCTAGAGAGCTCTATGACTCGAGACGCGGAGTCGTCCCGCAAGGTTTTGGGTCCAATTGCCATCAGGCTTACAGCGGCAACCCCAGGTGAACCGTATGTATGTCGTGCCGAATCTGGTTCGGATTTGGGCGCATTGTGTACGATTTTTCTCGAGCAACGAGTCTATAACGCTCTCCCGATGTCTCCATCCACTCTCCGGACAGGTTTTCTGGGTATAACAAACCTAGCATAGGACGATCCCGTCGATCTCGCTGCACCCGCTGCCTGCGCACCTCTGCTCGCTTTGCTACAGGCGCTTGAGCTGACCTTGAATCCAGGTGTGCAGGCGCCCGGTAGGCGCGCGAAGAAATGAGCGAGCGACAAGAATTGAACACGCCTACTATCCGGGATGGGGCTCACCGAGGCGCCGAAGGGTGCAATGCCGCCTCGGATTCTTCTTTGTGACTATGACCACAACCCTGTACCACTCACAGCGTAGCACAGTACTGATTTGCTCTTAAAAATCGAGCGGTGAGGTAGGTCCGTAATGCCTTGGCACATAGTACTTGGGAGCAACTCGCTGTAGGAGTATATCTTGTTGGGTGGCTGTCAATTAACAGTACTTCAAGTTCCGCTAGATTCGCAAGCATCGTATATAATCGCAAGCAAGCATCGTATGACAGCATCGTAGGATCACCTTCAGTATTTTCAGGGTATCATAGTGCGTATATGGATACTTTACTCGACACATTCGAGTTGCCTGATAGACGATGCCCCCTCACCCCCCCATCGCTCGAAGTGTAGAGCAATTCAATCGCATACTCCTTCCATCTTCGCAAACGCTACACATGAAGCATGAGCCTCCGAGGCTGACGTACCAGTCTCTGCAGAGGGTCAAAGTTACTCGAAAGAGGGTGGATGACGACGGACCTGAACGATGTAGATGACTCTCAGGCTGCGTCTCGCCGTGTTATCTGTACACCTAAGAACTCGGCAGTACAGATCTCCCCAGCCATTTCTGTCACGGCGAGAGGCACAGCTTATTAATCTGTAAGTTCAGAACTTCAGGCAACCTCCAAAGAGCTTCTCGACGCCATCGGAGTCAATCCTGAGTGCAGTCTTTATACCACACCACCATCCTCGAAGGCTTGCTAGCACGCCCACCATGAGCCAAGGACAGTACATCGCGATCCGCGCGCCTCCCGTCACTGTAGGTCATCTCGCCACTGTAACATATTCAGAATATCTCGCTCACTGCGTCTCCCGCCTCGCACCCCACTTGTGAACATACTCGCACATATCGATCGATCTCTGGCAGCTCGAAGATATCGCCGCCCAAGAGCAGCGCTGCATCTTCCCGCACTTCACAGCGGACACCGCCTGGGAACTGGGCACGCGCCTCCGCGCGCGCCTGCAGCGTGCGTCGCCCAAGCCCGCCGTCGTGAACATCACGCTCGTCGCGCACTCGCAGCTCCTCTTCCATTGCGCGACCGGCCGCGGCACGACCGCGGACAACGACACATGGGTCGCGCGCAAGCGCGCCGCGGTCCTGCGCTGGCACACGAGCACATGGTTCTTGCACAACAAGCATGGAGGGAACGAGGATGCTTTCAGGGCGAAGTTCATGTTGGGGGAGAAGGCGGGGGAGTATGCGATCCACGGTGGAGGATTCCCGATTAGGGTGAGGGATGTCGAAGGGATCGTGGGCGTCATCGTGGTTAGTGGACTGACGATGCAGGAGGACCATGAGGTGATCGTGGAGGTAATCGAAGAGTACCTTGCGTCGCTCTAGGGTGCACGGAAGTAACAAGATGTTTGCGTCATTATGATGTAAGAATATGAGCACAAGCGAAATCTAAGGGCGATGACAGTGTATACAGTATGCTGATGGGTGCTCTGTGAAGATAACAGACGAGGTATACAGCGAAGGGAGAGGATACATAGCAGTCGTGGCGCATGCAGAGGTATCATACGGTGCTGATCAGGTATGCTACAAAGTCATCAAGGGAGACGTGAGATATCAGAGTAACCGAGTAAACGTATAGAGGCATTAGAGTAGCTCATGCAGCACCTGGTCATATTGGTGCGGGAGGTGAGAGCTGAGCATGTCTCGCGCGAAGATGATCTGTCCAAACACCTGCTTGACGTCCTTGACCTCGAACAGGCGCACTTTCTCCTTGGGAGAGCTTCGCCCGGAGCCTGTCCCGATCTGGTGTGCGCGGTGGAGATCCCCATCTCGCAGTGCCCAGTACACGCGGCCTGGAGGGAACAGGTCCGCCATCTGCATGTTCGCTTCGAGCGTCTTGCGGATGGCGAGAAACTAGCGATAGTTTTGTGAGTTTTGCGTCGATTTTGGAGGAATTTGGAGGACGTACCCATTCCTCATCTCCCTCCTCTCCCCTGCCCATCTTCCACTTGAGTGCCTTCTTCGTCACGCTGCTGTACCCGTCGGCCTTGTCGCCGTCCCTGTTCTCCGCCGCACATAACCAAACCGCTCCCCGGGTGAGATCCCGCACGCTACCGAGCGATAGCCGCGACACGATATCGTGGCCGTTAACAAAGGATGTGATCAAGCCGGAAGCAGCAGCTTTGGCGCTGAGTCGGGGGGAGACGAGACAAGGCGGGGCAAAGCAGTACGCAGAGACGCGCCGGCCCACGGGAAGGCCAGATGCCCTGTGGGTAAGGCAGGTCTCAGGAGTCGCCCACAACTGATGGGGACATCGTCAGTTTGGACATCGACACAAGAGGGGAACACTAACGAGTGCGAGAAGGCCGGCGACCCCGGCACCAAGGCTGTGTCCGCACAGGACAAGTGCTGCGAAACGCATTCAGTTGGATTCTGCTAACATGACATGTGAGTGTAGAACGTACAGTATCCCTTATTCTTGCGCAACGCATCTCGGACAGCGTAATGAACCGGCTTCCCTGGCCCACCCATGGCACGTGTCATTCTCAGCATGCCGCCGTGCACGATGTATACGGTATCGTCTCCAGCTTCAGATGCAAGCCTTGAGCGCGGCGCATGCGAGGAGCGCGTCGAATTCTTCCTGGAGCGCGGGAACGGGACGGAGATGTCTATCGGGAACGGGAATGAGCCTGGGATGTTCTCCAGTTCCTCGTCAAGCTCGTCGGAGTCGGCTTCGTCGTGCGTAGGTAGAGGCGGCTGTCGTTTCTCCTGTTCGGACGTCTCTTCCCCGCGATCGGGTTGTAGATGCGTGCTTGACTGGGAGAGATGGGAGGGTGTGCGCGCACGAGAGGAAGATGAGCGCTCTACTGTCGGAAGGGTGAAGGGGGCTGGATCGCATGTAAGGTCGACTGCAAGTTCATTCAAGCTCATAGTGCCACGGATGACGAGAACGACTTCTTTCCGGACATGATCTGTGAGAACCCAGAAGCGAGGAATGTGGTGCTCTGAGCTAACGTGCGCAGTGGGCGGTGGGTGTGGCTAGACATGCGCTTAGTATCACGAGGATGGCAAGGCGCAACGCAGAACTCACTGGCTGCTCGGTCGAACTACTGGAAGGCGTTGGCTGCAACTGTGCCCAATGCATGAAGATGTCGTGGTCGTGTTTGCCCATGAGGACATCCCACCAGGAGTACGTTGGTGCGCCAGGCATGTTAGTGTCCTTGGGCTTAGATCGACCACGCCCATCCTCTCCAGCGGCCTCCTTCTCGGAAGCGTCAATCGCATCAGCGAGCTTCACCTCCTCCTTGGGCTCCTCCTTCTGCCACGGCGTGAGCGACACTCCAAAGAAGAGGAGACTTGGTCCGCCATAGCCAGCAAGAACAAGCTTCGAAAGACGGCGGAGTGTCTGTTTGAGGTCATCCATAGGTGGCGCAACTTCGGGGCCTTGCGACGGGAGATTCGTATGAGGAGGGGCCAGGAGGGACGTGGATTGACGCGGGGGCCAGGAGCCGGGGACAGGGACTTCTGTGATATCAGCTGTGACTATTTGACCAGAATGGCTTGGGTATATGGTGTCCCCAGTGATAGTGACGCGGGAGTCGACGCGTTTGCGGCGGGTAAAGGAGGACGAGCCGTCATGTACTGGAACTTCCTTCATGAATTTGAACCAGCGCTCCTCTTGGAACCGGCTGGTGACGCCTTGCAAGGCGGCGAAGCCTGCGAGTGCTCGGAGAACCTCACCTAGGCCATAGCGTTCTTCAGGGAGGCCTTCACTTTCCGCAGGCTCATTCCACTCGCGGCGGACGAGACCTACGAAGCTTGCTAGAGAGAAGCTGGCCTCGTCGCTCCCGGGGAAGATGGTAGTGAGCATAGACAAGGAAGAATGGGCGGCGACGAGAGATGTAGAGGTGAGAGATTCCCCGAGAATAAGCGGGGCGAGCGCAACGAACTCGACAGCAGAGATAGCGGAAGACACTGCGCCTCCAAGAAGCTGACCAGCCCCAGTGGTCCCTCCGAACAAAGCATAGTCAATGACAGAGCCGGTGAATCCGGCAGCCGTCGACGCGACGCCCCGCGTGATGGAGAACTATTAGGGGGTGGACAGTCAGAGCTGGGCATTCGATATCAGGGTATTGGTGACGTACTCCAAGACGGGTGCAGGCTTTGGCAGTAGAGAAGCCTATGGTGGTCGCGGTGGAGGCAAGATCGAGACTGAAGCGACCATACTTGTCCAAATTGGAAAGCATGCAATAGAGGAATCGGAGAACGACACAACGGCAGGGCTGCAAGCACCGCGAGCGAAGATGGTAGTCGAGAGAATAGTATCAAGGAGAGGAAGGGGGCGACAAACGAGCAATTAAGCACGAGCTGCGGACAAACGTAAATCACGCGCAACTGTTCCCGCCACCACCAGCAGCCACCGTCATTCCTCGCGTGGCCCTATCTCAGATCCGCGAACCCAGTCCAGTTCGAGTGGCCTCGACTCCTGCGATATCTGTTGCTCTGCAGTATCGTTCAACCCGTAGGCACAGGCTCATTGCAGGGGCTGGCACGGATGTTCCCTGCGGAACGAGTGCAATAAGTGGCTCAAAGTAGGTTGCCATCGCACCCTCAGTTCGCTAGTCCGAAAGGTTCACCCAAGATCGTAGCATGCGTGTCCAAAAAGAGTACAGATGCTTCATGACATAAGTTAGAATACAACACGTGCGAATACAACATCACATAGCCCCTTCAAACAGCAGTTTCCGAGGCTTGCTAATGGACGGCGCAGGGGTGACGAGCGCAGGCCTGAAAGAAGCTTCAGTACAAAGGTCATGTACGCAAGAGGAACGTCAAGGATACTCACATGGAAGTACCTGTCATTGCTGCAGGATTGCCCATGATGATACTCTCCGAAACGCCAGCAATAGCATCTGTCTTGCCGTATGCCGATGCGTCGAACAGGTGATCTGTCGTCTTCTCGAACGAGGCAAGCATGAGGACGCTGTCCTTCATTTTTGCCACACCGAACCGAGTAATGCCAAGGACCTCTCCCTACAGAAATTGAGAACGCCTCAGCCCCTGTAGGTTATGATGAAGGCGGCTAGCGTACCTTGTAGGACATGACATCTCCCAGCAACATGACGTGCCGTGGGTCGATGCTCATACCGTGACTCTTCATCGTGTAGTTGATCTCATTGATAATCGTCTTCCGAGCGGCCTCAATACCGAGCACCTGTGCGACCTCGATGACGTGGTTGGAAGTGGTCTGCTCGCCGACGATGCCCTGTGTAGTCATGACCTTCTGCAGGCCGTATCCCTCAACGAGAAGTTCTTTGTCGCCCTTCTTCCCGCGGTGGTCATCGCCCTCCTTGATGTTGATGATGGCCCTACGAATGGTCGGGACACCTTTGACAACCACGTCTGGCAGCGCGCGCTTCAACTCCCGAAGGCGGTAGTACTTGTCTGGGCCGTCGATGTAGATGCGTAGACGATTCTTGCGAGGAATGATTGTGATGGATTCCTGCTTGATCTTCAGCTTCCGTGCAGCGACGATGGCCCACTTGATGTCATCCAGAGTGAGCTCGAGCTGTAAATCTTGGATGGTCTTCGCATCGACAATGATTCCGATGTACGTGTACTCCGGTGCCCACGCTTCCTCAAGGATCGAAGCAATCTGGAGAGGCACGCATTCTTTAGTCGTGCTTGCCACTGAACAAGGACAGTAACTCACGTCGCCGATATGCGTCCTCTCCAACCGACCCTTGACGATACGAGCAGACGCCTCACTGTCAGCAGTAACGAGCTTACAGCTGATGATAGGAGTACTGATCGCCTTCGCGGCGTTGATGATCTCCTTGATACGAGGCACACCAAGCGTGACGTTCATGGACGCAACACCCGCGAAGTGGAACGTCTTCAGCGTCATTTGCGTTCCGGGCTCACCGATGGACTGTGCACCGACCGCACCGACTGTGGAGCCCGGCTCAATCTTCGCCTTGACATACTTCGTCCAACAGATGTCGAGGAATAGCTTGAGCTGCTCCTCGGTGACCTTGACTTTGTTGTCGACCGCGATCTTGTCAGCATCTGATACAAAGGCAACTCATCAGTATCGCCCTCGAATCAGCTAGAGGACGGCACGTACAGGACGCCCCCATGGACAGGTCAGTGTCGGCATCCCACTCCTCCTCGCGCTCGAGGGCTTCGAACATCCCATGCGCCTTGCGGACCTCTCCGAGCTTCTGCGCGATGTTCTCCGAGATGAACTTGCGTATTGTCGCAATGTAGGCCGCTGTACATTCTGACGTGAACCTGCGTGTCGCGAGTGCCCGATCGACGTGATCCATGATCTCGAAGGGAAGCAGACCACGAGTAGATCTTGGTGCGACGGACTAGAGAAGGTGGTGAGGAGGCGAGCACCGGAGTCAGGGACAAGACGTACGCAAGCATGGATCCAAGCTCGCTCGTACTCCACAGGCTGAGCGTCACCCTCCAAGCATGCAGGGTCCAGACCATCGTCACCATAGCGGAACTGCACGACACCGCCAACAGCGTTACGAACTGAGGAATCGTAGTGCGTCACTAGGTCCTCGAGTGCCTTCATCAGACGTCGCTGCATGTAACCGGTCTCAGCCGTCTTGACAGCAGTATCGACCAGACCTTCACGACCCGAGATGGCATGGAACAGGAACTCCGTTGGAGTAAGCCCAGTGTAGAAGGAGTTGCGCACGAAACCCTTGGATGGAGGATCCCTGGACTTCTTGGGGAAGTGTGGGAGGGAGCGGTCCTGGAAGCCATCCGGCACACGATGGCCGGCAATGATCTGTTGCCCGACACAGGCAACCATCTGAGAGACGTTGATGACGGAACCTAGGGACAAATTGATGGAAGGTGTCTAGATATATGCGGAAGGTACGCATACCTTTAGAACCGCAAGTAGCCATGATCAGAGGAGCGTTGTGGCGGCTCAACTCTTTCATACAGATCTCACCGACGTTGCCACGAACGTCGGACAGCACCTTCGAGATCTCGGCTTCGAGCGTCTGCTCTTGATCACAACCGGGTTTGTTCTCTAGAAGACCTTTTTTCGCTCGAATGATGAGCTTCTCGCAAGCTGCATACGCAGCCTCGACCATAGAGTCCTTCTTGTCAGACAGAACGGGACCAGGAATGACGTCGTTGATGCCCAATGAAAATCCGAAGTTGGCTACGAAGAGACGTCAACTCACAATGGAAGCAGGTGATGAGAGATAGATGAACTAACCAAGATACCGTGCACAGAGCTTCGCGACCCTGTTCATCGCAGCGGCGGCTTCATGTGGGCCATAGTCCCGCATGATGACTCCGAACACAGACTTCTTCTTTCCGCTCCCAACCGTCGCCTTGTCCATGACACCGCACATGATCTCGCTGTTCACGATGACAAGCCACCCGTCGTTCGGCGACAGATCTGGGGCGGGCTTCCCTATCCACGGATAGCATTTCGTGTCGGCTTTCTCCTCCTTGTTGCACTTGCTTTCCACGTTCACGAAGACCCTGGACTTGCGGTTTGGGCGCATGAGGACGTTGAAGATCTGCTTGCCTGTCCAGAGCCGGACGGGCCTCCAGATCGTCGGTGGTGGAATGTCGATCTGGAGATCTGCGTCGCCGAAATAGGAGCATATTTGCGTGAACTGGCGGCGGTCGAAGAAGGTATCACGGCGGGAGAGGAGAAAGGAGGCGGTGATGAAGTCTTGGATGGCGGCAATGACGGGCTCTCCGTTTCGGGGCGTTACGAGGTTGTGCTTGACGGACATGAGCTCGAGGGCTTCTGTCCGAGCCTCTTCCGTCTGGGGGACGTCTGGTAGGCCGTAAGTTATCGAGAGGCACAGATACATGGGTGCGCGTACGAAGATTCATCTCGTCACCGTCGAAGTCGGCGTTGTAGGGGCCGCATACACACTCGTTCAAGCGGAAAGAGCGCCATGGTCGTACTTTAATCTGAGTGAACATGTTAGGTTATCGCTTGTTAGTAGTCAGGGAATGCGCAGAGGCTTACCCGGTGACACATGATCGAAAGCTTATGCAAACTTGGTTGTCGATTGAACAACGCGATGTCCCCGTCGATCACATGGCGCTCGACAATATCACCTACGCGCAGGCCATCGGCAATGGCAGTTCGGTTGCCGAATTTCAAGTACTTCTTGAACCCATTACTACCTGCGGTAACGTAGTTGGCTCCCGGATGGACGTCACAACCATTCCGAACCGCCTTCTTCAGTCGGTCGATGTTGTGAGCCGTGACGCGTTCGGGATAGGTGAGGATCTTGGCAACGCGCTCGGGCACGGCAACCTCGTCAATTCGCAAATTAGGATCAGGCGAGATGACGGTACGGCCAGAGAAGTCGACACGCTTTCCGGAGAGGTTACCACGGAAACGACCCTGCTTGCCCTTCAGTCGCTGGCAGAAACCACGTATTGGCTTCTGGCCCATTTGCGAAGGGACCCCGGGCAGTTCGGAGTTGATGTACATGGCAACTGACAGCTGAAGAAACTCCCATTGTTCCTGCAAGCCGACTTTCGTCAGTGGGATTCTTGTGAGGAGATATGAGCGTGATGTTCTGACCATGAATTGTGCAGTGGGAGCACCTTTAAGAAGACCTTGTTTGATAAGAGCATTGCTGAAGACAATCTCGGTGAGCTTGACAGTCAGATCATCCTCGTTCGACGCGCCGTCCTGCGCGACAGACGGGCGGATGGCGACAGGGGGGACGGAGATGTATTGCCAGATGAACTGCTCGGGTCTTCCAAACTCTGGCCGAAGACCAAGCAACTCGCAATCCTGGAAAAGCATCAGACAAGACACAGGAAAGGATGGTAGAAAGGACAGACCTCGTTTGAGATACGTTTGAACAAGTCAAGGACCTTCAGCGGGTTCAAGTCCTCGTGCACGGCCTTGTTGATGTACATGCCGAGCTCTTTCTGGGCCTCTACAGCGGGTCCAAACGTCCTCTTCCATTTCTCCATCTCTTCTGCTGTCTTCTTGGCGCGGAACTTGTCGTGGATGATCTTGAGGGCGCCGGCCTTCTTGACGACACCATTGGTGGCAGAGCAATAAGGACAGTAGACAGTCTTCCGTGCAAGAGCGAGAACGGCCTTGCAGAGGTTCAGTCTCTGAAGATTCTCAAGGTTCGGTCTCCGGAAACGCTTGAGGTACGCGCGACGGTCGGGTTCTTCAAGCAGCACTCGGGCACATGTCTAAATGCGGTTTAGTATGAGGCAGTGAGATTAGCAGATGAATACACACTTTGCATATGCACTGTAAGATGCTAATGGTGTGCTTGAAGTAGCCAATATGGAAGACGGGAACAACGAGCTTGATGTACGCATAGTGACCGACACAGTCGACGGAATTGAGGCCGCAGGTTTCGCAGTAAGCGCTCTTCTCTGTTGTTCCCTGCGGCAGATGTATGTTCATTCGACGCTCAGGTAACCGCTATAAGCATATGAAAATACGTACGAGACGTCGATCGAGGACGCCGTTCTTAACGGGCAGGCGGTCGATGGGAGTGTAGAGATCGCGATGAGTAACTTCGAACTCGGCGAGCTTGACCGTGTCCTGATTGTTGAGCAGACTGAACTGCAATTTCTTACTATAGAATATGTCATTTAAATGTCTTCTTAGCGATGGAGATACCATGGGGTGTGGGCGAAGGTACGTACATGACCTTCGGAGCCTTGTGGGACACGGACTCTTTCATCCTGCACCGCTCCTCTCGCGCACCGGCTGCGCCTTATCAGAATCCTGAGCCGCCACCAGAGTCTAAGGAGTTGCGAGCGAGTCGGTGTGCGCGCGTGGAGAGACAGAGGCAGCAAGACGAGCTGAAGCGGGCAAGAGGACAAGAAATGACTGGAGCTTTGCCTGAGCTCGAGTAGGACAGAGGAGCGCCCGTATACTTTTGAGGTCATGTGACTGTGAGGTAGAGAGATCGAGATCGAGATACGCGCGTCGCGGTGACTTGCGCGTCCTCGTCCAAAGCACCACACGCCTTCCCTCTCTCCCCACTCAACATGTCCAGGACCTCTTACGACAGGTGTGTATCCCATTTCTTTGTTCTGTGCGTTCTTTCTTATCATCCGCCATAGATATCTTACTGTATTCTCCCCGGAGGGTCGGTTGTACCAAGTAGGTCAGTACAGGAAATACATACTACCGGCGGGCTGCATCTGACAGTACTCTCCGCAGAATATGCGTTCAAGGCTATCTCAGGGTCTGGACATACCGCTATTGCTGTAAGAGGAAAGGATACCGCGGTTGTCATCACGCAGAAGAAGGTTCCCGTACGTCGTTGTTTGTTGCACTCCGATTACGCGGCTGTCTAATAACTCGTGCACACCCTCAGGACAAGCTGCTCGATGCTGACACCGTCACCCACTTGTTCAGCATCACGCCCACAATCGGCTGTGTCATGACTGGTCTCATTGGTGTGTGGCCAGCCACCTGCTTGTCGAGCCTTTCGTCTTATGTGTTCCCTCCCTTCCTGCCTCAACTCTCCCCGCCTGTAGCCGATGCCCGTGCACAAGTCATGCGGGCACGATCAGAAGCCGCTGACTTCCGTTACAAGTACGGCTATGAGATCACCCCAGACGCGCTCGCCCGGCGCATGGCCAACATCAACCAAGTATATACGCAGCGAGCAGCTATGCGGCCACTTGGTATCGGTACGCCACTTTCGTAACGTCGAAGCAGCCCGAGTATCTGATGATGCTTACATTGGGGGCGACTCTTCAGCGATGATCCTCATTGGGAGCGACCCCGAGTTTGGCCCACAATGCTTCAAGCTGGACCCTGCCGGGTACTTCGTCGGCTTCCACGCAACAGCGGCCGGTCAGAAACAGCAGGAAGCGATGAACCACCTCGAGAAGAAGTGGAAGAAGCTCGACTCCGGTCGCGGTGCTGACGATGCTGTCAAGGCGGGCAAGACGCTCTCGCGCGCCGAGGTCATCGAGGTACGCTCTGACATCCTTTAGAAAACGAGAACGTTCATCGACCTCTGAGTGTAGATGGCTATCGAGGCTATTTCTACTGTCCATGCCACTGACTTCAAGCCCGATGAGGTTGAGATTGGCATTGTTTCAGAGGGTGATGAGGAGAACCCTAAGACGCGAGGACAGTGGCGAGTCATGGATACGGCAGAGATCGAGCGACACCTGCTGGCGTACGCGGAGAAAGACTAAGCGTGTATGTATTACTCTGGACTTCACGGTTGCAACGACGCATCATTCTTCTACGACCGTGTGCGCGTCCGAGTTTGAGGGATAGCATGACGATGTGAACATAGCACCCGAGAAGCAAATATTCCTAGTCATTGCACTAGCTGCAGTAATGGTACATTTTGGATCGGCAGTCGTGCTGGCTGGCCGAAGGGGAGCACGGGGCAACAAGAATGGTGGAAGCAAGCAAAGTCCTAGCTACGTCATAAAAACAGCATGAAGAGACGAAAGCATATAAGACATAAATGGCCATGGACCCGGAACGTAGGCTCAGAAGGTCATCTTCTTGCCTTGGGGCTCAGCAATAGCCCCTGTGCGGGCACCGCCGCGACCACCACGTCCGCCTCCACGACCACCACGATCACCGAAGCCCCCACGACCGCCACGACCACCACGACCACCGCGGTCACCAAAGCCACCACGGCCGCCGCGACCACCCCCACGACCCCCACGGTCACCGAAACCCTGCACCGACGACAATCAGCCCCAAAGTCTCCATGCACGACTGGATGCACCACTTACACGTCCGCCACCGCGACCACCACCGCGGCCTCCGCCATTGTTGTCTCTGGGCTGGCTGTAGTCGAGACGTACGGGACGGCCGTCGATTTCGGTGCCCGAGACACCCTCGTACGCCTTCTTCGCAGCCTCGATGTCCGTGAACTCGACGTAGCCGAAGCCCTTGGGCTTGCCCGTCTCAGGGTTCGTGGGGAGCCGCACGCTCTTCACGTCACCGTACGAGCCGAATACCTCCCATAGGCCGTCCTCGGTCGAGTCCCAGCTGAGGTTGCCGACGAAGAGAACCGCGGAGGGCTCGTTGGGTGTGTCCCCGAACTTCTCCGCGCGGCTCTGGCGAACGGCGGTCTTGTCCTTGTCCTCAGACTTGTCTACGTTGATCGGGCGACCGTCGATCTCCTTGCCCGAAAGCTTGAGGGCGGCCTCGACGGCCTCGGTCGTCGCGAACGTGACGTAGCCGAATCCGCGCGAGCGACCGGTGTTGCGGTCCATCTGGACGCGCGCGGAGACGACCTCACCGCACTCCGCGAACTCTTGTGCCAGCCAGTCGTTGTCGACATTCCAGGACAGGCGGCCTACGAAGACGGTTTTAGTCTCGGACCCGCCTTCGGCAGGCGCCGCGTCGCCATTAGCGATCTTGACCTTTTTGGTGGGCGCGGGTGCGTCCTCCTCGGCTTTGCGCTTGCCTGGTACAGAGTCATGAGGACGGATGTGGATCGAATGGAACCGTTGGGGCTCACCCTTAGCAGCAGGAGCCTTGGTAGCATCGGCCATCTCCACATCCTCAGACTCTTCGTCAGAATCCTCAGAAGAATCCTCGTCGGACGACGACTCATCCTTCTTGGACTTATCCTTCTTCGCGGGGGCTGCTGCCTTCTTAGCCTTGGGAACTTCCTCCTCTTCAGACGAGTCCGACCCATCAGAGTCGCTCTCACCGCTGCTAGAGTCGGCCTTCTTCGCAGGGGCAGCCTTCTTCGCGCTCGCGGGGGTCGTCTTCGCCTTCGCGGGGGCCTCATCCTCGGAGGAGCTCTCGGAAGATTCGTCGGATGATGAGGAAGCCGTCTTCTTGGGTGTCGCCTTTACTTGCGCGGCCTTGGGCTTCTCGTCGTCGGAAGACTCCTCTGAGCTCGAACTCGAGGGTGCTGCAGCCTTCTGCGACCAGGAAGATTGATATACGAACGTTTTGGCAGGTAGATAGAAGCGCACCTTAGCATTAGCGGCTTTAGGAATAGCAGCAGGCTTCTTGGCAGACTCGGATTCCGACTCAGATTCTGACGACTCGTCGCTGGAGCTGGAGCCCTTGGCAGTGGGTTTTGCAGCCGCTTTTGGTGTGAGCTTAGCCTGGTGCAGCAAATTAGATGAGTCGACCTGCAAGGCTCTACGAACAATACTGACCTTGCCGTTAGTAGCAGGAGCGTCGCTCTCCGAATCAGAGTCGGAGCTCTCAGAGCTGGACTCCTTGGCCTTGGTAGCGGCCTTAGCCTGACAGATGAATGTATGAGAACGGTAATGAGAAAAAGTCAGAAAACATACCACGCCGTTGGCCTTCGCCTTGGGCTTCTCATCCTCAGAGTCGGACTCGGACGACTCCTCGCTGCTGCTCTCTGCCTTCTTCCCCTTCGACTTCTTCTTCTTTTCCTACAATTATAACAATGAGGACGTATATGGCGGAACATAATGCGTGAACACATACCTGCTCCTTAGCCTTAGCCAGGATCTCCTTAGAGGAGATAGGCTTAGCAGCAGCCTTGGCGGGAGCAGGCGCAGCAGCCTTCTTCGCGGGGGTGGAGGCCTTGGCCTTTTTGTCAGCCTTCTTGTCTGCTGCCTTGGCCATTGCGGACGATGTAGGGAATGTCGAGTGAAATGGGCAGAGAGGCAGGAGCAGAGAGAGCGGTTGAGAACCCGCGGGAGAGAAAGTTGAGGCACGCGGCAATTTTTTGCAAAAGTGGAAATTTGGCGTCTAATCCCCGGCATTGGCCAGGTCCGCTGTTCCGCCTGATGCCGCCGATCGAGCACAGGGCCCGTCGCGCGCTTCCGGTCCGTCTCAGTCTGCCTCTGTACATGTACATTTAAGTACTTTGCCTGCCCCTGCATCGGAATCGCAGTAGTGACCAGTGAGTACGGAGAATGGAATTTGACGCGATTGTGCTAGGAACTGGTCTCTCCGAGTCGATTGCTGCTGCGTGAGCACCATGTCGCTTCTTCCAGTCACCATCGCTCAAGACTAGCCTGCGCAGTGCGCTATCCAAAGCTGGCTTCAAGGTCGCGCATGTAGACAACAATCAGTACTACGGCGGCGACGAGGCATCCCTCACATTGGACGAGCTTGCAGAATGGGCAGACATACGCTCCGGTCGCAAGGACACCCCGTCCTCCGACTACCTCGCGACTCAGAAAGAGCGATACACCTCCATCTCCCGTTCAGAGTCCATTCCGCCACAGTCAAGACAGTATGCTGTCTCACTCGCCCCGTCCATCGTTCCCTCCATCGGATCGCACATCGACGCCCTCGTCGCCTCTGGAGTCTCGCGCTACGGCTCCTTCAAACTCCTCGAGAAGGTCGCCGTTTACGACCGACCGGGGTTTGTACAGAGTGTGCCCGGGAGCAAGGAGGATGTGTTCAAGAGCAAGGCCTTATCACTCATTGACAAGCGACGATTGATGCGCTTCCTCATGTTTGCGGCCGGGGAATTTGAGGACAAGAAGGAACTAGAGGGAAAGGAGCAGATGCCCTTTAGCCAATACCTGCGCGAGGTCTTCTCTCTCAACGGTAAGGCTGTTAACGCCATCGCATATGCCATAGCCTTCTGCACAACCGGAGAAGGTACGGAGAGTTCCAGTATCTGTCGTAACGTGTATATATTCAATGATATGCAGAACACACTCTTCCGGTCCTCCGGAGAATACGGCAGTATCTACGCTCTGCGGGCCGATATGGTGCTTCTCCCTTCCTTGTCGGACACTATGGGGGCCTGGGCGAGACAGCGCAAGGTTTCTGTCGAACATCAGCCGTCAAGGGCGGAACGTATATCCTTGGTCGCCGCGTGCTCTCCGTCAAGGCGTCTTCCCTAGCGGATAGCCTTGAGGTTGAGAAGGCTGCTTCTGACTCTGCCAAGACAGCCTCCCGATATGAAGTTCAGCTGGAAGACATCGACGAGCAGCTGACCAGTACGATCCTTCTGTCGGCTCCGGATTATGTCCGCCCGTCCGCCCCGATAACGTCTTCCTCGCACGATGTCCCTTCCGTCTCGCATGCGCACTACCCGATAGCTCGATGTATTGCGATACTGGAACATCCATTGGTTTTCACGCCAGTAGATGCACCGGAAGAGACTCCCGCTCCTGAGGTAGAGGAATCTATTGAGGGTGTCGAGGACGAGCTATCCGACAAGCCAGCACCGCCAAATTATGAGGTCGATACCGCCCTGCTTGTCTTCCCACCAGGTGCATTGCCCGATGGCTCGACCACGACAGCGGCCCATGCTTTGGTCACAGGAGAGGCGAGCATGTCCGCACCGAGAGGGAAATGTGAGCTACGGTTCTCGAGTCTACAGACCAGTCAGAGGGGCTCATGGCGCATTCCAGACATCCTCAATATTTCATTGCCTCTTCCCACGTCGGATCCGTCCAGTCCCAAGGAACTGCTGCGACCCTATCTAGAAGCAGCTTTGAGCCTCGCCATATCTCCCTCTTCTCCAGAGACGACCCCAACGAGGCCGCTCTTCACCGTCTTCTACACACACAACCCGCCTTCCGGTGCAGCTCCTCCATCTACGCCGTCCGATAGTGGTGCCATTTTGACGCCGCCTCCAACACAGCTGTTGCCTGCCATTGCCGACGTAGCGACAGAGAACGCAGAGGCCATGTTCTGGAAGGCGGTCGAGCAGTTGAAAGCTGCTGGCGTCCGGCGTTCCGTGGTGAAGGAAAGCTATAAGAAGAGCGATGGCGAAGAGGAGAAGGTTGATGATGAACGAAACCCGGAGGAGATAGACTCTTTCTGGCCGCCCTTAGACGCTACCGAGGAGGATTCGAGCACGGCGGACGAATGGTGAGCTGAGGCTGGGAATGGAGTATGGCAGCGAGACATGAAGCTGTATTCTATGTACATGCACGCATGAGAGGGGCTCTTTCACTCAGCATATACGAAATAACTTGTAGCAAATGCCCAATTTGAGCAGGGTGCTTGAGTGGAATTGAGATGGAATGCGGTCCAAGGACTTCCGCCCAAGGAGCAAGCTGCCATAGACATGCACAGGCGCCGGGCGTAGTGAGTAGCCGGAGTCGGCCGATTGACCGACCAGCACACCTCTCTTGTCGACCTCCACCATGCACCCCTCACTACGCCTCGCCAACCAGGCTCGCCAACCCCTCATTCGCTTTCTAGGAAAACGGCAGTGGCCCTCAAGTGCGCAACTACACTCTGTCTTTACTTCATGTGGACGGCTCGGCGCTAATTGGATACGCGTGCCTCTGCGCGCACTTGTGTCGCGCTCGTAGAACCCGAGGAGCAGCACCCGCATCCGTTCGCGCCCCAGGAGCTCAAGGAACGCTTCGGCGAATTTGTGAAGAAGTTCCAGACCGCGCCCGCTGCCGCTGCGTCTGGTTCAGGCGCGGCTAAGAAGAGCTCGAGCAGCGCGAAGGTGTTCGAGGAGTTCTGGCAGGCCCCGTCGCGGTTCTGGAAACACGATCTAGAGGAGTGGGAGATTGACCTTGTACAGGTGCGTCTTACAGGATTCAATTGCATGCAGATCATGGCTGAATGCCAGGCTGATGCGCGGTGGGTCGCCTACGACAGAGCGGAGGAGCGACCCGGCACTAATTGTACAGTTTGCGAGATATAATGGACATCGGCGGCACTTTTATTTAATGGAACCACCTGTACCCCTGCTTGGAACACCCGCTACTTCACGGTCATATCTGGGAGCGGCAAGACCAGACACCTCATTGGTTTACGCCACGTCCATGCATGAATATTCTTGCCGTTGCTGCAGCGACCATCCGTCTTAAATTGTGTGCGCGACGCGTATTCGTACCCACTCGCTGAACACGCCATAAGGCCCAAGCCCCAGCATTACAGGGGCGATGTCGGATTCACTGCAAGACTAGGCCGCTAGACAGACCGACAAGAGCCTCCTTGGCGATTAGTAGCTCCGCTGCGCATTACGGGCCAGAATGAATGACACTCGCTCGTATCGACGCGGTGATACGAGGCATGCCTCGGTCGAGCTTGCAGCTCTGAAGCCTTGTTAAGTTCTATCAACATGGAAGCGGCTCAGCTTACTGCGAGTTGGTAATGATATCGCGATGCCGGCGCCTCAGTTGTCAATTGTCTACTGAATCGTCTCGATACTTCGCTGCTGTAAGAGCACGAAACATGCCCATCAGAGTTGTTCTGCAATCAATAATTAGCATACATACGAGGAATCGCTGAGAATAAACGGAGGCCCTTAATCCTTCAGAGCTCGGTTCGGCCGGTTCTGTGTGTGATTACGGAAGATTCATCGGACGCTGCCTTCGGTATCTGTTCCTCCCCGCTGCCATGCCGGTGAGGTTCCCTCAGCAGCTGCTCGGAAAAGTTGTCAGTATTTTCACTATGATACAGCGGCCTCGATGTCGGCGACACTTACGAGACGGACATGGATGGGTGCACCATCCCAACTCGGGTTGTCCACCCCGACGATCGTCTCCGCGACAAGCTTGACTCCCACAGCCTCGTAGAACTTGTACGCATCCGTAGTCACTACGGTCACCGCGAGGCCCTTTGCATCTCCCTGCATGGTACGTTGTATTGCAATGACAACAACAGTCAGTTTCATCGTTCTCCTGCGATCCGATTGCACCACCCACAATGTCGGTGACCGCTTTCACCAACGCTTTGCCGTAACCATGGCCTTGCTTCTCCGGCGAAGTACCAAGCAGTACGATATCGATCGGTTCTGCTTCTCGATCGCCAAGGTTCTCCCTGAACAGGGTACCGATAGCACCGCGGACCTCGGTTTGTCGCTGAAGAGACGGTCAACCTATCATGTCTCGCCCAGATATTCTCAATGCTTTTACCTTGGTGAATTCCTTAGTCTGTATCTTGCGCAACAGGCCCATCAGGTATAGATGTAGCTTACTATCCTTGTCCTCTGGAAGACGGCTGTGATCACATGGATTAGGAGGACGAACACTTAGAGGTGAGCTTATGCTGCGCTCGACGTACAAGGTGCAAACCGCGTCGCCGTGGTCAACAGTGAGGGCTCGGCCCAGGCGAATTGCCTCGATATGTCTGAGTATCCCCGCGATACAATCCCGTAGATCATAGAAAGCTGACGAGAAGTCTCCTGCCTACACGAGCCAGTCAGCGTCTGTCCACCCAAATATTCATCTGTGTTACCCGAGACTAACTCTGAGGTACCGGGTTAACGAGTCACTGCGCATTGCATTGATACCAGTCCGAATGGCTCTTGGGACATCAGCTAGTCCAGGCGCACTTCAGAACGTTCCTATGGTTGCAGGGGCGAACGCTACTAACAGTATTGCAAGGGCCGGACATTAATGTTGCTTCCGTATTCAACAGGAGGTTCACTGGGGGGCGCCATTTTCCTTGTCAGAGTGGCTGTGGATAGCACGAGCAGAGACGACTGAGTACTAGTGCGACCCCAGAAGCGACGCATTAAGCGCCTGACCCCAGAAGCGACTGACACGCCTCTAGGTCTCGCATTTCCCTGTCAATAAATGCACAAATGTTACAAATGAAACTACGTGCTTCTGAACTATCACTTCCAAAAAGAACGAAGGAAATCGGGAGGAATTTGCTCCCGATACAAGTCAATCTGAGTAGGGTTTTGAGGGTTTACCGACCTTGTTGAGTTGTCACGCAAAGATCGGCATGGCCGATCTTCTTGTAACTTTGCAAAGTGTTCTTAAAATGCTCAATAAACGTTCTCGTCGAAGTTCCGAAGGATTCCGGGTTGCGGCATTTGAAGGTTGGGAAGGGGTCTTTCGAGCGTGACATTCAGCCACTGACCAAGATAAGTCGGACTTTAAAATAGAGCGCTCCTCGACTGTTGCCACGGATGCAGTGACAGCGTCTCCTGCTGTCCTGCTTCGGTGCTTCTCTTGCGTGGCTTCCTGGTGCTCTCGTTTTCCCTTTCTATCCTGCTTCTTTCCCATGTCTCGTCCGAAGGCTCTCAGGCGACCTCTTACGGGCGCTCCCAAAGGCAGTCGGCGGTGCACACGTCAATATACCGAGGAGACCATGCGCGAAGCTATCCAGCAGTATGAAGAAGGGCGGAACCATGGTGAGACTTACAGATCTATTGCAGCAGCCATGGGAGTTCCAGAGGCAACCCTCCGGATGCGACACCAAGGTCTCCGCACATCCCGGCGTGCTAGTCATGCTCGATCCCAGCGTCTCTCGCCCGAAGAGGAAGACGCGCTCTGCGATTGGGTCGAGCATCTCTGCTACATGGGGTTTCCGGTTGACAAGCGCACCCTT